CTTTTATATGTATCTAAAACAAAACTATGTCAATCTATGTTAGTAATTAGTTACGGAAGTGGAAACTCAAGCTCAACTCTATCATATCCACTCATACATCTTGCACTTGCTTTTGTATCTGAAAGATACTCGTATCTCGTAGCGCGAAAAAATCAGTGTCAACAGATTTTCTTATGTGCTTGCAACACAGTTGTGTGTCGATTCAAAATATATAAATTAGTTTTATTTCATCTCTTCTTTATCAGTATTATTATTAGTATTTTTTTAATTTTTTATCTTGTGTTGAATTTTATTTATTTATTGTTGTTGTTGTTATTGTTGTTGTTGTAAAACGCACTTGAAATATATGCGAGAAATTATGAATTCCGAACTGCATTTGATTTGGTTTTTAATCTTGCACCAGCACCAGCAGCAGCACCAGCACCAGCTCAACGCTTCCAGCTTTAAGTTTTAAGTTAAGAGATGCAACCCAAGATAAATTGTGATTTGCCGTTGATACGAAAGAAAAAGTTGAAATTTCACTTTTTAATTTTTATAACAAAAAAAATATTTAACTAAAATATTTACAAGTAAATAACGAAATACAAAAACAGTAGTGGAAACAGGTTAATTTATTGTTTTTAAAAAACGACAGATTTATGCGAGAAATGCCAAGCATGTGCCCTTTTATTGTATAAAAAATTAGTTACAATTATTTTAGAAAATTAAGACCTTAAGCTCCGGCAGGTGTTAGGAAAAAAAAAAAAAATAATGATCATGTTGATATTTTATCATTTCAGTTGTGCTCGGAGACTTTAGGCTAAATTTTAATTATAACAGTATTTTAGATTGTGAAAGCCTTGATAGTCTTTCCCAATAAAGTTTTCTTTCTTTTTCCTCTGCGCCGTTCATAAGAACGAATAGAGTTCCTTTGCCTCGACCACAGAATGGTTCTGGGCCTAACACTCTTAAGGGCACGTTTCTTCTTGCAGGTTTGTCTGCCATTTCATTGCCTTGGATATCAGCATGTTCATATCCAATTCTTAGCAGTAATTATGGGGTCTCGCAATGTCTAGGTGGAATATTGTACCCTTTTTATTCATCACTTCTATATATATATGACACTGTATAATAGATAACGAGGTTTTCTCAACTCTTATAACGGCTGGATTTACTTACTAGTGTACCAAATTTAGTTAGAAGAAATAGTTTATAAATTTAATTTGTTGATTTTTTCTTGCCGAAAGTGATGCATCTTATGACGGAAGCAAACTATTTTAAAGTTGGGTGTAAATAGAAATGAAAAAACAACAACAAAAATTTGACAAGCACGAGTTCTAAGCCTCCCACTTGCAGTCCAAACAAATTATATACTACGGACTTAAAACTAATTAAAAAGAACTTAGCAATACTCGAAACAGCGTTGTATGGTCAACTAAATTTCAATAAATTAACTACAATATTTGTTGTTGTCTTTTTATTTCTATTCGAATCCTTCTAACTTTGAAATAGTTTATAGTTTGAAAATAATAGTTTATGTTAAGAAATCAGTTTCTTTCGTCAAAATGGACGTTGAAAATTAATTTAATTAGAAGATATTTTTACATTATTCTGAATACTTCAAGGGTGACAATATATGGTGGTTTAAAACAATTTTCTTTAAATCAATTACTTGTTAGTAATATATTGTATTTTAATTGAATACACCACCATATATTCTGTTGTTTCATAAATAGCTGTTTAATACAACAAACTATTTTAGTGGAGTCTCTGTCAAGATGTAGAATATGTACCACCCCCAATCTATGATAGCACATAAATATCTATAAAACTTTTTAATCAGTTTAGTACACTAATTTTATATAAAACTGTTTCCATTATATAATCCTGAAAATATTTTTAATTGATAAATAAAATTGCTGAATTTTTAGTTACAAATATGTAGGAGTCAACATATGTTCATATATTTCATATTCACAAGATAAGAATTGATCAATGTGATTCTGTGATTTTATTAAAAAGACTTATTCCATATTCACTACTGCCAATATAGAAATTAAATTAATAGTTTATAATTACGAATCAAAAGAAAAACTTAGAATCATCACAGGAATCCTAACAGAGCATTGTGAACTAAAATACCACCTTACGACCCTGGGTATATTAACGGATGCAAACTGTACACTCAGTGAGGATAATGATGAATCAGCCACACATGTTCTGTAAAAATGCCCTACGCTAATACACAAACGGAATAAACTCCGAGGAATGTAAACCATTACAGAAGAGGCAATAAAACTTTGTAAAGTCGGTGCTATGCTACTTTTTATTGAAGCAACAAAGCTTAGAAACCTACTCTAAACCCAGAAGCGGGCACAATAGACCTGACGGTCACAGTACCACATCCCTTAAGAATTATAATTATAATAATTAGGAATGCAGTGCTCCACATCTATTGTTTCATTATTTAGTACAGGAAGAAATAGATCAAAAGTGGTAGGAACTTATTGTAAAAGCATGTTAGTCAGTTTTAACACCATCTTAAAGGGTTGCTTTTCAACTTATCGACATTATCAACTCCTCTAACTACTTACAGAGCTTAAAGTCTTTAAAACTACGTGATTGGTTAGAAATGGTTTTTGAAGCTTACAGATTTGTGTGATAACAATGGACTGAAAATTTCATGTGTATTTCTAGTACCGCTGTAATAATGTAACCTATTCTATAAAAGTTTATGACTAAAACGAACAACTGTTATATACATTATAATAAATAAACCAAACATAATTTGCAACTCCTAATAATAGATAATACTTATATTTAAATTTTCATAAAGCAGTTATTCAATTAACTTAAAAAAATCCATATAGCTGTTTTAACAACCCTGAATAATTACATTAAACGATGTGAAAACTTAGTTTTTAGTGTCTACAAATTTTTTTTCTTAAAAATGAATTCTTTCATCCAATTATGAAATTCTTCTTTATATATTCATTAGTGCCATCTGAAATAACATATTTTGTAAGATACAATTTTTAAAAGAGTTAAAAGCCTAACGATTTAAAGAAGCAGCAAATGCGAAGGTCTTGTCAAATTTTTATTGTTTGTAATATGAAAAATTAAAAACAATAAAAATTATATTTTGTTTAGTTCTCAGCTAAATTTACACACAGTAATTATATTAAATAACGTAAATATTTCTTAACAATTGAGGAAAATTATTTTATGTTTATTTAATTAAACTTTTAAACGGCATTTGTTAGGGAAAGAAGGTCATGGATTTCAGTTGTTCAAAGATACTTACACTTTAAAGATACCTAAATAAATATTACTTTTTGCACCGTAAATAATTATTAAAAAATAACTATAAGTATATGTGGAAAAACTTTAATGAAAGCTTAAATAGAAAATTTAAGTAAGGTTATATGTAAATATTCTCATGACGTTTAAGCAATGAGTTGCCTACTACCTATTAAACTAACTATTAACTTTAAAGTATTCATTTGTTTATGTTCATCGATAAACATTTTAGTAAATCAATAATACACTAATCATAGTGTACTTAAAAACTAAACTAAAAAACATTTACAGACAATTGATTGTCGAGAGGTTCTTTATTAGTGAAGTACCTAACCTCTTGGACTTTCCCTTGCAAGATATGTAACGAAGTAGAAAAAGCAGTTTTCGTTAAGAAACTTCTTGTTCATTGTAGTTTTTTTCTTGGAAAGTTGTTGACCTTACGAAGGCTAGAGGTTGTTTAACCTGAAGAGGTCATATATTTCCATGACATAATTAAGCTGCTTTGAAGTTCTTGAGTTTAGTTCAGTTTACAACTAGAACAGTTTTTGGATACTATGTATATTTGAGAGTGATGTCGATATAGTGATATCGCAAGCAATTGAAATGCGGACTAGGCAACCAAACTGTTTGCGTTTATATACGTAGATCATTGTTAAGATCCGAATAATCTCAACATGCTACTGAAAACCACTTTTTCATCTAAAGAACTTGTGGTATGTAGAAACAGTTCAGGATAAACAAGAAGAGTCCCTAAAGATAGAGAAATTTCATTTTTATGTTAGGTGTATAGATGAATCACTATTGGTGAAGAAACTCTGAGTACTCACAGCAGCAACTGTGAGTTAAATGAAATAATTGCTTTAAATCCACATTGTCAATATCTATGACAATATATAACGTGGATTGAAAATATTATAAATTTACTATCTTGCGAATATTATTCAGTCACTAGGTCTGCTATCTTAGGTTATACAAATGGTTTGAAACACTACGAGATAGTATGACTACTTGAAGTTCTTTGTTGTACTTAGAACTAGACCGGGATCAGGTTCCCTTTTCATTACACATATAGCGTATAGAAATCCCGTAGTCAGGAAGAGTGTTTATAATTAAGCCTCCACTACGTCAAGGTATCTACCGAGTGGGGGTGAATTTCTTAGTAACCAATGTTAATTGTAATTGTGTTTCAATCGCCTGTTTAGGTATATATTTTTCTTATTAACTCCACAAAGCTTTAATATTCCTCAGACTAACAGTTAAATAACTGGCTTGTAAGCGCCTCACATAGACCTAAGCGTTACCACAAGGGAAAAAACAACATACAGATAATTGAAAATAAAAAAAAATTGCATATATAATTATAAATAATAATAATAATAGTTATTTTTTATACTTAATGCTCTAATCGAAACACCTCTACTGGTGTTACACATTATAATTAACAAATTTCATCCATTACTCAACTTAATTTACTCAACAGTTCCGGTGTAAAATTTCAAATCACTAACTCAAAAACTTGATTCGGATCTAATCCTTTAACTTTAATATAAAAATTATTAAGCTCATTCATATGTTTAATTTATTTACTTATTAAGTACCTACAGCTTCCTTATTACAATTAGCATGTCTTTTAATCATAAACAAATACGAATTAGTAATTTCCTTTGAAAACTTCAACTTAAAACTAATCGTACCCTTACTTAAATGCTTATTTTTTGCAGTACTCAATGTTGCAGCCGGAAAAGCACCTATGCAAATCTCAACTGAAGGTGCTGGAGCGCCGCAAAAAGCCATCGATGGTTCAACATCCGCTTTCTTCACGCCTGAAACATGTTCGCTAACAAAATCCGAGCGTTCGCCCTGGTGGTATGTAAATCTGCTGGAACCATACATGGTGCAATTAGTGCGTTTGGATTTCGGAAAATCATGTTGTGGTAAGTAACCAACGAGGAACGAAACTAACCAAACAAGGTGCATTAAATAAAATGAACTCATTAAAAAAGCAGATGCTAAAACAGATAATTGAATTGAATTTAAATATAAAAGCAAAGAAATTTGAAATATAAATAAAACCAATTTTAGCTTATTTAAAAAAATTATAAATTTTAACAGCCTCAACCTATCTTTTCTCTTTATAACTTAATTTAATGAAAATTCATTGACCTTACCAAAAACAAAGCCGACGCGGCTGTGTACCGTTCATGGTAGAGCCCACGTCAAGTAGCTAATTTATGTCTCTAATTCGATTTCGAGCTGGTCTCTTCGCATAAGCGGTGCGGCCGCATTTGAACAGCCATGCGAGTATACCAAAAGGGTTGCCAAAATGCATGGTCGCCTATATTTGCGGTATGCAAGTATTTCCCAGTTGCAGGCACTCGCAACATAAATGCTTTCACTTGACTCACAACAAAAACAGAAACAAAAAAAAACAGCAACAATGCTGCCAACAACGTAGCTTGTTATGTGATTTTTTCCTCTTTTAATTTTTTTTAACTTTTAACTTTTAATTTTTTATTTTTGTATTAATGCTTTTATTTTATTTTCCCGAAATGTCTACTACGTGCCTACAGCGGCGGCTTGAGTAAGGCAGTGGTTAGAAAAGAGGTTGCGCGGGTCGACGCATATGGTTTCAGTTACCATAATTTGCTGTGAAAGATTTACACAATTTATGATTACTTTCACTGAAATTGTGGGCAAAACAAAGTTTAACTAAACAATATGTTAGACTCTAGCTCTGTTCATCTTAGTACAACGTTTAGATGCTGAGTTTGTTGAACTCTAATAAGCGGCAAAATTGTATTACCAATAAATTTTAAAATATTCTACACTTTTATTGCAGGCAATAAACCAGCCACAATTGTCGTACGTGTGGGCAACAATCGTCCGGACTTGGGCACAAATCCAATTTGCAATCGTTTTACTGGTTTGCTTGAAGAAGGGCAACCACTCTTCTTACCATGCAATCCACCAATGCCTGGTGCATTTGTGTCTGTACATTTAGAAAACAACACGCCAAATCAGTTATCGATATGTGAAGCTTTTGTGTACACGGATCAGGCATTGCCAATTGAACGTTGTCCTACATTCCGCGATCAGCCACCAGGTGCATTGGCCTCATATAATGGCAAATGTTATATCTTCTATAATCGACAACCATTGAACTTCTTGGACTCGTTGTCATTTTGCCGTTCACGCGGTGGTACACTGATTAGTGAAAGTAATCCAGCATTACAAGGATTCATTAGTTGGGAATTGTGGCGTCGTCATCGCAGCGATGTTAGTTCACAGTACTGGATGGGTGCAGTGAGGGATGGTACTGATCGTAATATTTGGAAATGGGTTAATGGTGATGAAGTAACAGTTTCTTTCTGGAATCATCCTGGTGGTGATGAAGATTGTGCACGTTTTGATGGTGCCAAGGGTTGGCTATGGAGTGATACCAATTGTAATACTTTACTTAATTTCATTTGTCAACATCGTCCAAAGACTTGTGGACGCCCAGAACAACCACCTAACTCTACAATGGTTGCTTTGAATGGTTTCGAAGTTGGTGCACAAATACAATATTCTTGCGATGCTAATCATTTGCTTGTGGGACCTACAACACGAACTTGTTTAGAAACCGGATTTTACAATGAATTCCCTCCAATCTGTAAATGTAAGTAAACTTTTATATATGAAATCGAATGTAATTATATATGACGACTAGTAGTTTAAATATAATTTAAGCTGTTGGAATCTTCGAAAATTGATTTTTATGTTCGAGTATGACAATAACTATACTATACTTTTATATATTAAATCCAACGTAATTATGAATAACGACTAGTGGTTTTAATATAATGCAAGCTGTTGAAAACTTCGAAGATTTTTATGTTCAATATAGAAAAACACCTGAGCATTTGGCTCGAATACAACCAGCCACACGAGTATGTTCGAACAATATATGGTGCTGGAGCATTTGTGTTATGAGAATTTGTATAAAACTGAATTATCAGAACATAGACAAAATAATTATTTATGATAGATTACACGCAAAGTAAAACGATAGATTACACAAACAACACAAGTTCAAAGCGATCACTAAATACTTTGCACACAAAGAAACGCAATGAAAATATTCAATACTCGATCAGTTGATATAAGATTTCTTCCACGTTCAAGTCAAGAAATCTTAATTAAATTGGTTTTTATGTTTCCAACAACTTCTTATAGTACAATTAATGCAGTAGTAAAGCACAAACATATATGTGTACAAACATATGTTAGCATATGTATAATGCCTATTCTTTATAATTTAAGTTTTATTCTACATGTGTATTTTAATATATGTATTAATATATTTATAATTTAAAATAATATAATCATTATTTTATATTATTCAATAATAAGTAATTCAATTTTGATATAAATTCTTTATAGACATAGAATGTGGTTTACCAGCTTCCATACCACATGGCTCATATGAACTCACCAACGGCACTGTAGGTTACCTAAGTCTTGTGAAATACTCCTGTCAAGAAGGCTATGAGATGATTGGACGTGCTTTGTTAACTTGTGATTTTGATGAGCGCTGGAATGGTCCACCACCACGTTGTGAAAGTAAGTAAAAACTACAAGTCTATACACTTATGTATGTGAACCTAAACCATATGTAAATTATAAAACTACATATGGTGGATAATCTATATACATGAAAGTAATCTAATTAAATATTCCAATCGAAACTTTATTAATAACCATAAAATTTTTTAATTTCAATTAGTTGTGGAGTGCGACACTCTTCCTGGCAATTATTATAGCACAATTATTTCTGCACCAAATGGTACCTATTATGGTTCACAAGCTGAAATCAGTTGTCCACCTGGTTATCGTTTGGAAGGACCAAAAATGCTTACTTGTTTGGCAAATGGTCAATGGAGCAGTGCTTTGCCGCGTTGCATTAAATTGGAACCATCAACAATACCACCAACTCCATCAGCAGCACCTACTATACCATCAACAACAGCATTTAGACCCAAAATTGTATCTTCAACGAAGCGACCATATAAACCTTCACCGACAACAACAACAACAAGCACAACAACACATGGAACAAGCTCCACACCACATGTGGAAATCAATGGTGAAAGTAAGTGTTTAACAATTCATGATTAATATTTATATATAAATATTTATGTATATTACATTATTTTCGCAGCTCCTGAATCATCAGATGAAGATGTCACCTTTGTTGTTCCGGGAACCGTACGTGAGGAATTCCCACCACGTCGTACGTTACGACCTATACTTATTCCAAAGAAATCCAATACAACACCTGCATATCAAGCACCAACTACCTCATATCCGACAACTTCAACATCTCCCGCCGGTGTACCAACAAAAACACGTCCTAGTTCACCAACTGAAACGACAACACGAGACACACAAACCATCATACTCAACGCACATCCACAGGATAATGAAATTGCCGATAGCGTCAATATACGACAGAATCAATCGCCCAATGTTAATGTTCCATTCTCTCTTGATAATGCTAATCGCAAGGATACCAAGGAAGCCAAATTGAATTTGGGTGCTATTGTGGCTTTGGGTGCTTTTGGTGCGTTCGTCTTCTTAGCGGCAGTTATAACCACAATTGTGATTTTAGTCAGAAGGTGAGTGAGTTGTATTGATTATCCTAATTATTGAAGCTGAAGGGATTATATTAAGAATTTAGAAAGCTTTTAAAGAGTTAAATACCTCGTACTGCCATTGGTGGTTGGGGTTGAGGAAAATATTTTGATTTTTAATTTTAAAAAATGTAATATATTGAACTTAATATTTAAGATTGTTGAAAACTTAAATTGAAAATATGTGTGAAATCACTTATACGAATAAGTTATTAACTTCATAATATTTAAAGTAAAAAATCTGACTTCGATCTTTTAGGTTTTTATTTTTAGAGAAGTTTCGAACAGTAATAACTACAACAACAAAACTTTTTTATTATTTTAATTAATATAATTCTTTTTTATATAATTTAATTTTTATAATTGGTTTTTATTTATTAAATTAGACTTATTATAAAATTATTATTTAAAAACATCATTAAAATGATCTTAAGTAGTCTTTCATGCCTCCTTAAAATCGTTAGACTAATTGTGAAATAATTTGATAAAAATATCTTTAATTTTAGTTATTTTATAATATATTCATGCAATCTTGTATATTTTTATCTATTCTTATGAAAACCTTTTCTTGCCCCCGCTATCATTTTATAATAACTATATATAGTTTCGCTTACTAATCCGCCTATCGTACTCATTCGTTGTGTATCGTATTTATTTAGCACCTCGAACAGCAAACGGCGGCACAATGCAAAACACTATATCAATCATATCCACAGATCTCAACTGCAAAATTACTCAATATCCGCTTCCAGATCACAATTCAAAGGTTCTGATTATATAAACCCATTACGTTTCTATGATCATCAAAGCCTGCGAAGTTACAGTTCGAGTACAAGAGTCGAACCACCATCTATGTGGTATAGTGTCTTAGCGCTCCCATTTGACGATCAAAAACTGGGTAGACGTGAAATAAGCACATATGGACGTGGCTATGGAGCAAGAGCAGACGTCTTTAGTTCATCCGAATTTAAACCGAATAAACGTAAAAATCTCGAATTCTAAGAAAAAAGCAATTAGTTTTAAATAATTAAACGATCAAAATGAATTTAATAAACCGATTAAAAAGTGCCAAAGATATAAAATATATCGAAATATAACAAACGAGTATTTATCGATAACATTTGTACAAGTCAAATGCCATATATCCATTAAGTTAAACACTGGAAACACGTAAGAAGTTAAATTCTCTATAATTGTTGTTGGTGTTGTAATATCAAATTAAAGTAATTCTAATGCAAATGCCGCCTTGCTGTTTATGCACTTATATATGTTTTCATTTTCATCAATAAACCTAAACCAGTTCTAAACCCAAATGCACGTTTTCAATATATATCATTATCACCAAAAGTATATAGTGTTTTATGTATGTATTTCTAAGAATCTGGGCATGGTCAAAAGATTTATTAAAACGTACTTTAGTCCAATACATTTTTTGTGATTAACTTTTTATTTACTCAATTAATTGAATATATATACTAAAATACAATCAACACTTCTACACCCAATATTTCAATATACACAATTTTTTGATTAAGCCGCATGTGCTGGTTACACGTAGTTCCACTATATACACTGACTTTTGCTCGAAAAACCTTTCTGTGTCCCTTTTAAATCTTCATACATTATAGAAAATTAAACATTATTTTCTTTTTTTTAATATTTACAGAAATCGTACAACACAACATTATCGCCATCGTGCCTCACCCGATTGCAATACAGTTGCATCCTTCGATAGCTCAACTTCTGGCTCCAGAAATGGTTTAAACCGGTATGTCATTACAGTTTCGTATATTATATATAAGGAATGAAATAAAGTTTAATTTTTCTATTAGCTATTATCGTCAAGCTTGGGAAAATTTACATGAATCTGCTTCAAAAAATAGCTCACACAATGCTTTACGCCGCAAAGAAACTTTGGACCCACCTAGTATGACACGTTCACGTGATAACTTGCGTGAAAATATGCAACGTTCCAGAGAAAATCTTGACAGGTTAGTTTAAAAGGTAGTAATGAAAGGGTTCGTAACTAACAAATACTTATATTACTATTAATGCATAATGTAAACATAAATAGAGATATATGTATACATATATAGTATATATGTGTATATGGAATGTTCCCAAGCGGACTAAAGTTCGAGCACCCTCCAGAACGTTTTTATTGAATGAAGGGATAACCTCGAAAATTTATAACTTATAATTTGAAAATACCATGTATATGAGTACATATAATACAAATATAATAACATGTATTCAAACTGTTAAAGCTACTTTACCGATTTTTGCTTCTTCAACCAAAATAATTACATGATCTAGAGATATTGACAATTTTATGACAGACTGTTTCTTCCGTTTAGAGTTTACTTTGACACATATGTCTATTCAAATTTTAAATTTGATGAATCAAAAAACAATTCGCATACAGTCAAATCTGTTATCGGTAACAAAACTTATACATATATATCAGAAAGTAAATCTGTGTTACAATCTCACAGGAATCTCAACAATAATTTTAAATAAATAATCAAATATTCTTTTTTTTAAAGGAATAGCTATACAAATTATTTATATTTATATAAATTTAATTATATATAAATTAGTAATATTATTATATTAAGCACTATGCACTATACAGGAGCATGTCTACACCTATATATAAATTATATGTAAAATCGCACTTTGAGCACTGTGTTGTCATGATTATATTGAATTAATATAATATACATAACTATAATTTATATAATATTTATATTTGTGGAAGCCCTATGCTTCACTGGGTGATGAGAAGAGAGAGAGATATTATATATTTTATTTAATATTTTGGTCCTTTCGCTCTTATGTTGTGTATATGGAGCCTTTCAGTCAAATTCAAAAATAAATTTATTATTAAATAAACTAAATATCCCTATGATCCACTGGAAGATAAGGATAAGAGAGAGAGAGACAGATATTTTATATTTTATTTAATATTTTGGTCCTTTCGCTCTTATGTTGTGAATATGGAGGTTTTAAGTCAAATTCAAAAATAAATCTATTATTAAATTAGTAAAATTAAATCAATTAAATCAAATAAATTAATTTAAATTAAATTAAATTAAATTAAATTAAATTAAATTAAATTAAATTAATTTAATTTAAACCAAATTAATTGAAATTAAATTAAATTCCACCAAAATTAATTAAATTAAATATTATTATTAAACAAACTAATGGTATATTTTAATTATTTAAATTTATTTAATATAATTAAAAATGGTATTATTTAAATTAAAATTATAGATGCGGTCGTGATAATTACGGTATGAGAGATAATTCAGAAATGGTTGTATCAGATGCATGCTTAAAAGGTATGATGCAGTTTATGTAATATTTAGAAAATGTTACATATTATAAATATTTCTTAATATATATCAAATTTTTCAATTTGATATAAAATTCATTTATTTTAGTGAACAAAAGGTTTTATTTCATTTTAATGTTTTTGTTTGGCTGTTACGTCAATATTGTTTTTATATAATCAAAACATAAATAAATAATTTAATTTTATTAAAATTGTATTTAAAAATATGATTATATAAAACCAAAATGTTTTGTTTTTATTAAAAAAATTAATTTACCTAATAGCCTACGAAAAAACCTTAAAATAAAATAATTTAATATATAATATTTATTTAATATTTATTTATACGTAATACAAATATATTTTATTACAATTTTAGGGGAAAAGAAACGTCACCATCATCATCATCATAAAAGTAGCTCCCGAAATAGTGAATACCGTGATCAATCTTCAGGACGACGAGAACATCAACATCACAGACATAGTGGCGGACATTATTGACCAACTATGGTCATCACCATTAACGTTGAGCAATGAAATATCACAACAACGATACTAAATATAGTTTTCATAATAAATTAGTTAAATTAAGTTACTAAAAGTTAGTAAAAACAATTAACACATAAAGCAGTAGTCGTGAGAGCTATTTTAAAACTGTAATTTTAATTCTAATCCAAAAGTCAAACAAACAAAACTCTTAGAGAATCGGAGGATGTATCTTAAAAATATATTAGTTTTTATTAGTTTCATGCTATTTTGTTGTTTTTAAAAAAAAGAACTTAATTAGTATTTATTTGTGCACAAATCTAACATTTATAATATTAAATAATAAAAAATATATATAAATAATCTAAGAGAGCAGCGCTTAGCAAAAGTGACTTTTTGTTCAATAAAAAGTAATTTTTGCTTATCACAAAATTTATATGAAAAACTTGGTTTAGTTTATATATAATTTTCATATAAAAATTCATAAATTAAATCGATTAATTCATATGCTAAATATGCTAAATAAATGAAATATATAAAAATTTAGTTATAAAAATATCAAGCAAAAACATTTTTTAATGAGTGCCATTTCCGGCAAAAATTAAAATTCTACAAAATATCATCCAAAGCTGCAAAAATATATACAAAATTGAAGCTCGATATATAAAAAAAATATATATATTTAATATATTAAAATAAAAAAATATAAAACTGAAAGTGCAATTCTTATATATAATATATACATATATATTTTCTATTTCTATCACTTAAGTAAATATTAAAAAATGAGGTTTCAAACATCTGAATTATATCGGGCATTTAAAATATATAAAAATTAATTTTTAATTTTTATTTTTATTTAATTTTAAGTTAAAAATGTTTATGTATTATATATCAATGTTGAACTAATATAAGTTTATATATATTACATTGTGTATATAGAAGGAATTATTTATAAAATTTAAAATAAAACTAACTTCATTAGCAGATTATAAATATAAAAATATTATATTTTTAATAAAATATGAAATGTTTAAATTTATTTGGTTTTTTTTATTTAACAACTGGGTGAGATATAAATTAAAATATAAAAAATGACACTCAAAGAATTCTAACAATTTTGATTTAATTATGCGGTAAAAGCTCCAGGTAGTTTAAACACCTCAACTAGCTTCCTATAGATAATAAAATATAAATACTTGATATTATTAAACGGAAACTAAGATAACTTCGCATTAACAGAAATGGACCACGGAAATGACCATCAGTAAGAAGGCATAAGTTTAAAAAAATAAGAAACAATACCACCACATAGGAGATAAATACGAAGTAGTAAATATATCGCAAACAATGCTGAATAATAAACAAATACGTAAAGTATTTCAATGGATCTCATTAAATAAGCTTTATAATAAATATTTCCTTATCTATACTTCTAATTGAAAAAAAATGTTGACTGGTGTATATAATGTAAGTACCACACGTTTGAAGAATGATAAGTCCATGTCAAACATATACTCGAAGAGCAATGCTTTATTAAACTGTTATCTAAAAGCGTGTTTCTAAATACGTATATAATAAATTGATTCAATAGGAATTATTAATAGGAATCGGAATTAACTTTGCTTAATATCTGTCGCATATAATTTTAACAATTTTAAATTATGTCTCATATAGAACTCGTAGTACCTATGATCACTTTCTTCCCAATAATAGTGGTTTAATACTTTTCATAACAATATTATTGCAAAAAACATATTATTCTTATTTTACAACATAGAACAATATATATGATAAGTAGTGGATTTCTGTCTGAAGAGCTAGTAGTGGACTTTTGTCTGAAGAACTAGATATATACAAAAAGTTTAAGTTTCCAGATCATTACACTAAATGCTTTTTAAGCTCACTATATTGATAATAAGCCACAGATTACCTCAAGTTGCTCACATCTGCATTCTGTTGACCTCTCTCAAAATCAGAAAAAGCTTGCAAATCTCATTAAAGTACTGGAAAATTGAATAAAATCTTTAATGACTCTTCCCACAACTGTGAAGAAGATGGAGAAGCCATTTCTCATCTACTTTTTTACTATCCAGCACTAATACAGCATAGGTTGACTATCCTCACTTTCTAAGAGGATTTAGTCATCTGTAGAGCCTGTCTTTAAATAGCGTTTTAGGCTCTATAATAGATTCGAGATGGATATCTCATTATAATAAATATAGCGTAATAAATTTTTGAAAAGCTTTAGAAATATTTCGGTTTGAGTAAAAAAATTATTTTATTGATATTTTAACCATTGCTGTACATATGTCTTCTCAACTTCTAACATAAGATCTTTTTTTATCGTAGATGTAACCTGCAAAAATATCGTTTTTTTTTATTTTTTTTATTTATTATTTCTAATACAATCTATAAAAGAACATTCAGTATTACTTTTGGATATAAAATAGAAAAAAAATGAAATGTAGAATAAGTAGGTGGCTATAAATGTTTAATATCAGTAGGTTCATGATTATGATTAACGTATTTTGTGTTTTATTTGGCAGATTCATCGTAGAAAGTCTTCTTAGTCGACATGAATGATTGATATCTGTTAACAGTTCATGTGCTAGTTCGAATGATTTGATAGCCTTGTTCGGAAATTTATGCTGACTCTTTATATTGTTTCATACACTGATGGGACCTGGAGATCCCGCTGCAAAGCACTATTTGGAACATACCATGGAGTAGCAGCACATAAACGAAGTTTTATTGATTCAAATGTCTGTAATATTGCTATATTAGATTTCGCTACTGTTCTCCAGATCGAGACACCGTTAGTCCATATAAGTTTTTAAATAACTTAATATAGAAATATTTTATTGTTCAGTGATAGATTTTGATTTTAGCAAAGAAACCAGTACATTGAGTGCATTTTCAGACCCAATTGCTTGCTTTTCGTAAATATATGGTGAAAAGATAAAATCATTATTTTTTTGTGTTAATTATTATAAGGGAGGAATGCAAACCATGCTATGAAATGTTAATCTAGATACATTCCTACTTACTTAAATATCGCAAAGTCCTAAACGAAAGTTTTTTTTCCTCATGTTTCAAAGTTGCCATGTAGTGTCACTGGTGAGGAATGCCGGTTACTAGGACTTTTGTTTTAGTAGACCTTTCAAAATATTTATACACTGAAATATAGTTATTCGTATTGAATTTTATACTTAAAACAACTGTAAAAAAATTTTTCAAAAAAAAATATTTTAGTTACCATGACAAATATTAAAAATAAATAAATAAACAAATTTTTAAAATTATTTACCATTTTTTCATTTGAATATTCGTAACTGTGCTGATATCATTCGATAGTAAAGGAATTGGAAAGATATTTTAAAAACACTGACGGATTTGTAAATAATTATCTATAGAAACATAAGAACAAATAAAAAACAAAATGTTATCGAAGCTTGAAAAACCCTCACTTAAATTAACAAATAAGCAAGTCTTGGAAGAGATTGCACAATACAAAAGATGTTTTAGGGAAATAAGTAAGGTTCATTATGAGCAACCGGAAATACTAAAACATTTGGATAAAGATACTTTGATAACCGCTGCTTCGCTTATACCGGACTTAAATATTTTGGTCGAACGTATGGCAAAAATGAAAGATGACAGTTTCATATATATCTCTTATATGCTACCCTCCTCAGATAAATATTTTACGCCATACAGTTTAATGTAAGTATATTTTTATAAAATATACAATTACTTTAATATTATATTTATGCTGTAGAGAGGTTGAGTACAGAAAATTACCAGATCCACATCATTACTTCACCATGAGCCGGCATGGCGTTACTCACTGGCATCTCGATGAGAACTTCTTTACACCGCTACGTCAGTGGCAACAGGAGTTTCAACAATTCTTAAGTATCATTAAAGTGAGAACTTTTGCTAATTTTCGTCTGTGGAAGGGTTTCAAGGTCTGGGAGAAGAGAGTAAAGTGGAAAAAATTTAATGAAGCTAAATTACATTTGGAAGATAATCTCTTCATTGCTATACCGCAGTTAGGCAAAGCTATATTAAAACTGCGAAAAGAGGTTGTGAAATTGGAAAAATTGAATTTTATTAATGTCACCGGTAAAATAATACTTTTAAATATTTCTGTATATATACATGCTTTATATATATATATATATATACTTAAAAATCTTAAAAAAAAATTCTTCATATAGTTATCGAGGATTGGCATTCATTTTACTTCCTTGAATTGCATATGCGTATCTATGAGCAAATGCAAGAAAAATTCTATTATTTCCGGAAAGAGACACAAGCATATCTATGTGAGTTAAATTCTGGTATAATATAATATGGTATACTGTAGTTATATTTATAAATTATTTTAGATGAGGCATGTCTCTTTGCTTTGCTCGAAAAAGGTTTCTATCCCGATGATGAAGTAAACTACTTTCCTTCTATTAAAAAAATGAGAGATGCACTCAGTTTCATGGATAGGGCTAAAAAGCGGAATTACTGCAAAATGCTCTCCAAGTAAGTTTTTATATTAAATGTATTTCTATGGTACTATACACATTACTTAAACTCAACAATACTATTTATATACACATAACAGTATTTAGTTTTACCTTAGTTTGCTTTAAATTGCACTATAATGCATTTTAGAATTACTATTTGTAACAAGTTAAGCAACGAATCTGAGCATTGCATCATAGAATAAAGTTATCTTTTTTATTAATAATTTAATATAGAAAAAAAATGAGATGTTAATCAAGTATAGATGTATATATCGGTGAGTTGATATGAGTTAATGCCAAATAATACCTTTAGTGTGAGTGGATGTAAATAATTAAATCCTCTTAATCAACATAAGATATAGATATAAAATATAAAGTTAAGTCTGTTAGTGTGTGAACCCTTTTTATATTGACGGGCTACATTGTGGAGAAGTTTTAATGCTGTGCCCTTGAAATATTTTTTAACGATATCGATTTACAGACCGTTGTGAATATAATATCAAATTATATATATATCTATATTCTGAAAGTCAGTGATTATTGAAGGGCGGTATTGCTAATAACTACAAGTGAGTAAGTTGTTACTTACCTACTTAATTTTTTAAGTACAACAACCAGTTATTGGGTTTCTGTCTGACGCTTTACTTCTCCAGTTGCCTCTGTTGCGCTCGCATGGTCTTCAGCACCGAAGTTTAGGGAACACTAACAGAGCACTTGTTTTTGACGAGACAAGTGCAGTGCTATCAGTGGAGTTACTGGATTACTGCTACTTTAAACACCTTTCCCTGTAGTATCATATTTTATTCTTATCTGAATGTTAATTTGCTGAATGAGGTTAAAGTCGTGATAAAGCTCGTGGTTCATACGGATGCGGTAGACGTCATCAACTTTTATATTACAAATATTAATTTATTGTTAAGAATTTTTGAATGCTTTTTCTTCTCACTTTTAACAACAGATGTTTCTTAATTGTATGTATTACTTCAAAGTCTTTAATATTTAAATACATTTTTTATTATTTCAGTTTCTTAAGTTTTTGTGATCGTGTAGTAGGACATATGTTGCACAAGATAGTTGCACAGAGCACTAACGATCTGGCAGTAGCTTTGCAAACACATGATGAACTGGGCCCAACAGTGGAACAAATAGAAGGAAATCTCTCAGTAAGTGAACAAATCGAGCCAAAGAGACCAGATAATAAACCACAGGTATAACATATATATAATTTTTTTATATTTTCAAATTAAACACAAATAAAAATTTATAATTATTATCTATAGAGACCGTTCCTACTTGCTGAACTTATTATGCTTTCTGATCGCATTGAAGTTGACCCATCTGAGTAAATACATAAAATCTATTATGTAAAAATTTTTATAATACAATCTTATAAAATTTTAGAGAAATATTGAGAGTAATATTTCATCGTATTCATTCACTTATTTTGGACACTGTAATGGCATTCAAATCATTTACTGATGATCCAACGTTTAACCAATTTACTGAGTTAGTATAAATATTCACAATTTTAACCGAATTATTCACATTTTAATTTACATAATTATTTCTTGAATAGACCCTGTATAATGGGAAGACAAGAGGAACGTTTATCGGAACCAGCGCCAGCACTATCATTTTTGTTTCGTACAGATAAAGTTTATCAAGCCAATCGGTAAAAGTAATATGTAGTTTTACTATATATCCAATAAAAAAAAACATTTCTTTTTGTTTATAGCAAATCTATCTACACAAATATACATAATGCCTACATTAAGGCCATAGCCTATACCAAACGTTTTACGACGATACGGCTTAACTATGAAATTGATTTGACAACCGATCCAACGTTACTTAGCACGGAAAGAGGTATGTTTCAGCATTATCCCATATTATCTCACAATTTATTGTTTTCATTATATGTTATATCGATATTTATATATCTATTTATACAGACTTGGAAAAATTGCGCGAATATTGTGATCGATATTGCAATAATGTACGTGCTTTAGATGGTATTTTGTCTGATGTCAATTTAGGTTTATTGAGATTAACACAATCCAGCTTTAAGGACACTGTGACACCAGTGTGCCATAAACTTCAAAATGTTTTGGCAATGTGGATTCCAAAGTGAGTAAGAGTCATAAATTAAAACATTATATCATGTTTCCACTGAAGCTAAAACTATTTATATTAATGAAATTAAGATTTAGTCGTTTCCATTAATGTTAGTTTATTTAAGTATGTGAAATAGCTTGTTTCTTTACATTTTACATATAAAAAATATGACAAATATTTCAAATGTTGATTATTTCCCTAGTGGGAACTTTATTTGTAAGGGTTGCATTGAACATTTTTCGCCTTAAATAAGTTGATTTTTTTATAATGAGCTCATTTAAATGAAAACTCTTTGATTGGTATATTATCCTCATTAGCGACTTTAATGAGCAACACTGTCTAAATGAGAGCATATCATGTGTTGAGTGTATTGTAATATGTACATAAAAAAATGCTTAATACAACTGCAATACTTTATTATATACTTTATTTATTTATTTATTTATAATTTATCGTGTTTAAATTTGTAGACTTGCTATGCAGGAAGTGACACGTGTAACGCATGAATGTTCGGAATTATATAGAAGGATAATAGCGTTACCTGATTCAACACTAGCCATTGTTGAACATTTACATTTTCTTGAAAATGTCGAGAGCTCTTTGCTAGCTTTAATGACTCAAGTTGACTATGCCCATGACTTATTCATAATTATGAAAGATTTTGAAATACCCATTGATGACGAACGCAAAGAGGATTATATGGATTGTGAAGATTTAGTTAATCGTACCATTGACACATTACATGAAACACGTGAAAAACGACAAGAATTCGTAAATCTTCTAAAAGAAAAGATAGATGAAGATATTATCAAATTATTTGAAGACATAGCACAGATAACAAAAGAAACAGAAGCACCTCATTTGTTGGATGTAAGTTACACATTGACATCATTTTGTATATAATAGGTGACTTATTTAATAAAAATGTAATGTCTATTAATATCTAGATTAAGTCAGATTCTGAAAAGGTTTTGCCAGAACTAAACGCATTGTATGATCGACTTGTGAAATGTCAAGAAAAATCTAATGAATTGGTTGGCTTCCAACGTGAATTTAAGGTAAATATTTATGGACACCTATTGACATCTTAAAAAATTTTAGATTATTTTATACTTAATCTAATTGATCTAATTGATCTTTACACATTCATCCACATAGCTCGATATAACACGTTTCGAGGAAATAGGTAATACGTTCCAAAAGATTCGTTTACGTCAAAATCTCTGGAACAATTGGGAAGAATGGGAGCTTGCATTGGAAGAATGGTATGGCATGGAATTCAGTTCTCTCAATGTTGAAGACATGGTCAATCTTAATACAAAGATAATTAAAAATTGCATGCAGTATGAAAAATATTTACCAGAAAATGAAATTGTACCAATGCTGAGGGAATCTGCTGAAGAATTCAAAACTAAATTGCCGGTGCTCACCTACTTACGTAATCCGAATCTCAAAATTGTAAGTATTTGTGTGTATAATATACAATACATTGAATACAATATATATATTTCCAATAAAACTTTAGCGCCACTGGACCATTATTGAGAATCTCTTACAAAAGAAACTATGCGGAGAACAAAACATACACATAAAAACATTTGAGGAATTGAATGCTTTTACTGATGAAGTCATGGAGGTTTTGATGGAAGTATCATCACAAGCCACGGGTGAAGCGCAACTTGAATCCATGCTCAAGAATCTTGAGAATATTTGGAAAACTACTGAATTATCGATTGTACAACATCACGATCAAAATGATGTATTTATACTTGCGGGTACTGAAGAGTTGCAACTTATATTGGACGACTCTAATGTGAATATAAATACTATAGCGGCATCAAAGTTCGTGGGTCCTATAAGAAATAAAGTTAATGAGTGGATAACCGATTTGGAACAATTTGGTGAAACTTTAGGTAATTTATAATTAAAAAAAAAATATAAAAAAAAAAGTTTAAATTAACTTTTAGAGGTTTGGATGGAATGTCAAACATCTTGGATTTATTTAGAAGCGATTTTCGCTTCACCAGATATACAACGACAACTGCCCAAAGAAGCCAAAATGTTTTTGGTGGTTGATAAGAAATTCAAAGAAATTGTGAGGAGTGCTAAAAAGACTTCACTAGCGCTTGCTGTAATGGCAGATAGAGAAAACTATGAGGCACTTAAAGAGAACAATCGTTTACTGGATTTGATAACAAGAGGACTAGAAGCTTATCTAGAAGTGAAACGTGTGGTATTTCCAAGGTTTTTATTTAAAAATATTTAAAATAATTTATTTTTTAATTCTAACGAAATGCTTTAGATTCTACTTTTTGTCTAATGATGAACTTCTTGAAATTTTGGCGCAAACACGTGTACCTCAAGCTGTGCAACCGCATTTGCGCAAATGCTTCGATGCCATTTATCGTCTTGAGTTCGGTCAGAAGGAAGGTGGAGAAGGTGGTAAACCAAGTCCAACAAATGATATTTTAGCCTTTATATCACCTGAGGGAGAAAAATTACTCTTTGGTAAAGGTCTTAAGGCACGCGGTGCTGTGGAGGAATGGCTAAGCAAAGTCGAAGAAGCTATGTTCATAGCGGTCAAACGTTATATGCGCTTTGGTTATCAATGTTATCCAGCAAAGGAGCGACATGAATGGTTTCAAGGTTATATTATTTTTAGTATATGTTTATTTTAATTATTTTATAGATATATATTATGCAATTTATTTTATCAATTAATCAATTTTATTAGATCATCCAAATCAAATTGTTTTGACTGTTTCACAACAGCAGTGGGCAGCTGATGTACACATGATTTTCGCCGGTGGTGAAGTAAAACTACGATTAGATGCTGGTCAAGACGACGAAAAATCAAATATTGTGAAAAACATGCAACTATTTGAGAAGAAATGCTTCAAAAACTTAGCTGCTTTGGCAGCATTAACAAGAACTAATATTACCTCATTACTCCGTAAAATACTATGCGCCCTCATCACAATTGATGTACACGCAAAGGATTCTGTGAATCTTTTACTAGAAAAAAGAGTTACCAAAATGTAAGTCTATTCTTGAGATACTTTAAATTTCGGTTCTGATAGTGATCTATTTCTCTTTTTAGCACTGATTTCAACTGGTTGAAAATGTTACGATTCTATTGGAATCCAGATAATGATACGGCATACTCACGTATGGCTTCTGCCAACATACCTTACTACTATGAGTATTTGGGTGCCGGTGGTGTTTTGGTGTTAACTCCGTTGACTGATCGTTGTTACTTATGCTTGATGGGTGCGTTTCAGATGGATTTAGGTGGTGCGCCAGCTGGACCTGCTGGTACTGGTAAAACAGAAACAACAAAAGATTTAGCAAAAGCAGTAGCAAAACAATGCGTTGTATTCAATTGTTCCGATGGCTTAGATTATAAAATGATGGGACGTTTCTTTTCTGGATTGGCACAGTGTGGTGCATGGTGTTGCTTTGATGAATTTAATCGAATTGATATTGAAGTACTCTCAGTCATTGCTCAACAATTGATTACAATACGTAATGCAAAAGTGGCTAAAGTTAAACGGTATGCAAATAGTACAAATTCCTTATAATGTCTTCGCTTTAATAATTTGTCTACTTATAGTTTTATGTTTGAGGGTCGTGAAATAAAGTTAAGTAGTTCATGTTCTGTATATATTACCATGAATCCCGGATATGCTGGACGTACTGAATTGCCTGATAACTTAAAGGCACTTTTCCGTCCTATTGCTATGATGGTACCTGATTATGCTCTAATTTCTGAAGTCATATTATATTCCGAAGGCTTCGAATATCCCAAAGTGTTGGCCAATAAAATGGTACAAATGTACAAACTGTGCAGTGAACAGTTAAGTCAACAAAATCATTATGATTTCGGTATGCGAGCTGTGAAATCTGTTTTGGTAATGGCAGGCGCATTGAAACGTGCAGCGCCAGATCAACGTGAGGATATTACATTGATCGCTGCGTTGCGTGACTCGAATATACCTAAATTTTTGGCTGACGATGCACTATTATTCCGTGGCATACTTAGTGATCTATTTCCGGGAGTTGTTTTACCCGATTCTTCTCATCCAGATTTAGAAGAGAGTCTAAAAATTGGCCTAACTGAGAAAAATCTACAATCTACGCCTACAACGATACGTAAATGTATACAATTATATGAAACAATGTGTGTACGTTGGGGTGTTATGTTGGTTGGTCCAACCGGTGGTGGTAAATCGACAGTCTTGCATGCTCTAGAATTTGCTCTGGCGCATTTATATGATATTCAAGTGCCCGGTCCAAATTTTCGACACGTCACCATACAGACAATGAATCCCAAAGCAGTTACTATGAACGAACTTTATGGTTATGTGGATTCCAAAACACTCGAGTGGCAAGATGGCTTATTAGGTTTAGCTGTAAGAACGGCAGTAAATATAGAAGGTAAAAAGTAATAAATTGGTAATCGTATTGATTTATTCATTAATATTATTGTTTTTAATCTCTTCTAGATGAAATTCATCAATGGATTGTAAATGATGGCCCAGTCGATGCTGTGTGGATTGAGAATTTAAATACTGTACTGGATGATAATAAAATGTTGTGCTTAGCAAACTCAGAACGTATAAAACTTACCGCATGGGTGCATATGGTCTTTGAAGTACAGGATTTGATACAGGCTTCACCTGCTACGGTTTCACGTTGCGGTATGGTATATGTAGACCCTGATGATTTGGGTTGGTTACCACTGGTCGATTCTTGGAAGAATGGAGATATTAAAGCGAAATTATCTCCGGCACAGATGGAATATTTATACTCATTATTTATAAATCATCTTTTTGATCTGGTAAAAATTGGTATAAAGTATGGAGCGTTTTTAATTCATCAAGTAACAAATGCTAAAGTTCGGCTCTTGTGTGAACTACTTGCAGCTCAAATAGAGCCATTACGTTGGTCCGGAATTGGCGATGAAAACTATCAGCGTTTGCTGTGCAAAATGTTTGCTTGGGGTGCATTATGGTCAGTGGCGTGCAATTTCAAAGATGCTGAAAAGAGGAATTTTGAAAAATCCGTACGCGAAGTGATGGGAAAAGAACCATTTATGAAGTAAGTAAACCAGGATAGTTCTATAATAAACTAATAAGCTTTATAAGCTAATAAATGTAATATTATAATAGTAACAATTATAGTATTATTTTGACTATTTTTTAAGATCCTTACTTGTATACATTATTTTTTGTATTTCATAATTTATGGTTTCTATATTAAATGTTTTCAGATTTCCAAATAGTAGTCTTTGGGATTATCGTGTTAATGTTGAACGTGAAGAATGGGAGAATTGGAGTCATCTCATTGAAGAGTTCGCTTATGATCCAAATGATAAGTATTTTGATATGCAAGTACCTACAATAGATACCACAAAATTTGGGTAAGACTAAACAGTCTTTAAAAAACTTAACACTATAATTTCTTTTAATTTTTTAATATCAGGTACGTTTCCGAACTTCTGTTCCTGCGCAGATTTCCGGTTATGTATACGGGTGATACTGGCTTTGGTAAAACTGTGCTAGCTGCTAAAACTCTTAAAAAGCTCTCCACAGGAAAAATTGTTCCAGCTTTTATTAACTTTTCTGCACAAACTACCAGCTCACGTACCCAAGAAATGATTGAGGGTTCTCTTGAAAAGAGGAAGCGTACTCAACTCGGTGCACCAATCGGAAAAACGGTTATCATATTTATTGATGATGTCAATATGCCTAAATTGGATACTTACGGTAGTCAGCATGCTATTGAACTACTAAGGTATATTTTGTTTGTTCTTTTTTTATAAATGTGTTGAAAACAGTTATTCTCTATTGAAAAAGTGTCCGAAATTTGTTATATAAACTATTTATATTTAATATACTCAAAAAATTTTTTGTCTTCATTATGATTATTACGAGGTCACTTATGTCAAAACATCTACAATGGTATGTGAGTTTTACTTCCACTCGTGCCGTAACCGAATGGAAGTGTCTCGTTTTGAATGATCGCCTTAATCGTAATAGAAGTCACTAAAACCACCTCTTAGAAATAAATGGTAAAGATTTCCACAGCAATGTGGAAACTTTATTTCAATAGCCAGGGGAGTGAAATGTGAGCGAATAATCGTGTAAGAGAAAGAAGATAGCAGTTATCTGTTGTATTCTTCCACTGTTCTAAAATCGATCATTATCATTATGTAGTATTTTAATCGAGTGCTGCTAAATGGTGAGCATTTTTAAGATACGGTTGTTAAATTAAAGAAACTGAATGATTTTCTTAAAAAATCTTGTGAGAAAGATTTCAAGCGTTAATTACGCCCTGAAATATGTAGCACATAATAAAAGTGATTTCTAAGAATAATTTTTCAATATTTAAAAATAACATGAAATAAAGCTTTAGAAATAAGTTCAACATTAAATTGAAAATAAAATACAAATTTAAAAAAAGCAACACTTATTTATGTTTAGATGTCTCTACAAAAAGAATAGCTTTGAAACAAAAATAGGCAAGCTCAAAGATTAACTTTCAATTCGTTGAACTTGTGTTTCCAAATAAAGCTGTAGTTTATAAGCTCGTTCTAATTTAAAGCACGGCAAGTGCTTTGGTTGGTGTCACTAATTAAATAAAAAATAAGTGACAATAAAACCTGGAACTTGAGCATTGAAAGTTTGTGCAGCCTTGGCTTCTTGTGGATAAACACGATTAGTCATCGCTTCTAATTTGACAGGCACGAGTTCTAAGCCTGGCACTTGCAGTCCAAACAAATTATATACGGACTATAAACTAATTAAATAAAATTCGATTATTTCGAAAGACCACTGATGAAGAGTACTTGGCAATACTCGAAACAGCGTTGTATGGTCAGCCAAATTTCAATAAATTAAATAAAAAATTTTTGTTTTTGCCTTTCTTTGCTATTCGAATCGGTCTAACTTTTAAATAGTTTCTTTCGTCATAAAAAGACACGCCATTATCGGCAAGAAAAAATTTACCTTAAACACTTATTTATGTTTTATATTTTTCACTTTAGACAATTTTTAGACTTTGGAGGTCTTTACGATCGGGAGAAACTGTTTTGGAAAGAAATTTTAGACGTTGTACTTGGATGTGCATGCGCTCCTCCTGGAGGTGGTAGGAATCCTTTAACTCCACGGTAAAAACTTGAAATTAAATTGAAATAAAATTTATATAAAAATATTATTTACTATTTTAGTTTCGTAAGACACTTTGCTCTCTTCTCCTTGCCAAAGCCGCTCGATGAAACCTTAACAACTATATTTAGTGGTATCCTAGGAGGGTAAGTAAATTTACTATGCACATGACATAAGATAAGTATTACATGAAGCTTAGTTCAGATGTGTTTCCTGTTATGAGATATTCACACACACACATAATATAATATTTAACCTTTCTATCTTTGGAATTACCTCTCTATTGAAAACTATAGTTCATATTAAGAATGTAGTTTCTTTCGTCAAAACGGACGTTAAAAATCAATTTAATATAATATTTAATTGAAAAATTTTTAAAAGAATTCATTCAACGAATCCTCTTAACTTATGCAAAAAGTCTGAAACGACAGACCCATAACAACTTTACTAGGATAGCGTAAAATATCAAATTACATTATTTATAATGAACTGATTTCGATTCGAGTTGAAAAGAGAATACTATGCCGGAAACTCGTCGGCATATATACTATGCCTCATCAAATACCAGCAGCACCTCAATGAGATATGCTAAAAGAAAAAAAAAAATATTATTTAACTAAACTGGCGAATCATCTCAATTTGCGGTATCATTTAAGCAACGTTATGTGTACCTATGTGATAGAATATCAACTAAATCAACAGAAAAGGATAAGATACCAAACCGATTTCTTTATAGCTAATTGGCTCTGATCTAAGTTCAAAAGAGAATACTGTCATCTATCATATTCCATCTATTATCAGAAGCACGAAAACAATATTATCTAACTGACTTCTTTAACTGCATCATCTAAACGTACGCTATCGTTTAGACGTATGACAGAATATCAGCTCTTCCTGGAATAGAATGATTCCAAACCGCATTCTTTGTGATTAACAGGTTTGAAATAGTGCTGCAAATAGAATATAGTGCTAATTTTCTTGTCTCATTGAATATCAGATCTACCTCAGTGAGAGATTTTAAGTTTATAGATTCTTCCTAAAATCTAAATAATTTCTGTTTGATTAGGTTAATTTTTTAGCACAAATAATCTATTATAGTCGCAGTGCTCTAGTCCATTAGAAGTATTCTACACTACTTCATTCTCTTTTTCTACATAAATATAAGATAATGCATTATATATCCTTTAAATTAAACCTATATTACTAACACGGTTTAAATAATTTTTCTTTTCAGATTTCTGAGTGACTTTACACCTGCCTTACATGAATTATGTACACCAATCGTTAATGCATGTGTCGATGTATATATGCGTGTATCACAGGAAATGTTACCAACACCAGACAAATCGCATTATATATTCAATTTGCGTGATCTCTCCAAATGCATACAAGGCATCCTACAAGCAAGCTATGCAAATTATATCATGGAATCACAGTTATTGCGTCTCTTCTATCATGAGACCACTCGCGTGTTCCACGATCGGCTTATAAATAAAGAAGATAAAACATTCTTTAATAATTTGTTAAATGATGTTTGTTTGAAACAATTTGGTAAACAAGTGGTAAAACCAAATGAACCACCAATAGTTTTTGGAGATTTTATGATATTCGGTCGACCAAAACCAGAGCGTGTCTATGAAGAAATAAGAGATTATAAAAAACTTGAAAGTATTTTAATGGATTATGTTGAAGATTTTAACTCATCAACTGGCAAAAGTATGCGTCTTATACTTTTTCAAGATGCTATAGAACATACAGTACGTTTGGTACGTTTACTACGTAGTGATCGTGGCAATGGTTTGCTCGTTGGTATTGCCGGTATGGGTAAACAATCCCTAACGAAACTTGCTTCTCATGTGAATGAGTATAAGTGTATACAAATTGAATTGAAAAGAAATTATGATTTGAATGCTTTCCATGAAGACTTAAAGGTTATATATCAAATAGCAGGTGTAAGTTACTGTCTTTAATACATCGCTTCACTTTTTCGTTCATTTTAATTTGAATTTTTTGGAAGGTTGAGAATACTCCAGTTGTATTTTTGATGATTGATACACAAATAGTAGAAGAAGAATTCCTAGAAGATATGAATAATATATTGAATTCTGGTGAAGTGCCAAATCTGTTTGAAGGTGATGATTATGAGAAAGTTATACTGGACACACGTGAATCGTGTAATGCAGCGACTAAAGGAGGCGTAAGCAATAGACTTTTACTGTCAAAAATAATTATTTCAGAAATAATATAACTCTATTAATCAAAAATATATAGTAATTCCATTTCGTTGCTTTTAAAATATATATTTTCTGCTTTATCTAAGGGTTGCACTCGTGATGACATTTACAAATTCTTTATTAATCGCGTACGTAATAATTTACACGTTGTCCTCTCCATGAGTCCTGTGGGTGATGCTTTTAGACGTCGCTGCCGTATGTTTCCTTCATTAGTGAATGCTACTACTATCGATTGGTTTACCAGTTGGCCAACTGAAGCTTTGTATTCTGTGGCTTTAGGCTTGTTAGTGGAGATAACAAAATCTGAAGAAGAGAGAATAGCTTTAGCCAGTACAACTGTATTTATGCATATGGTTAGTATTGTTTAATTACGAAAAATTTTATTTAGAAATCCTTTCGTTTATTTAAATCTTTTGTCTAAATAATAAATCTTATATTACAGACTGTAGAGGAAGCGTCAAAACAATATTATAAAGAAATGAAACGTCATTATTATACCACACCCAGCAGTTATCTGGAATTACTTAAACTCTATCAAAATTTATTGAAAACCAAAACCGAAGAAATCATAGCTAAACGTAAGCGTATTAGCAATGGCTTAAATAAGCTTCTGGAAACAAATGAAGTGGTAAGTAATAGTACCAATAAATTTTTGTGGGTACTCTGTATATACACATGTGTGCTATATGTTATTTGTTCGCTATATTTATATTTATACTATGCTCGCGTTATGTCCCACAAAGAAAAAATTTCACTAAGTGCAACTGTTTATGGATCTCTCAGTGTTCGCATTGGTATCCCTATTAAAAATGTGCAATCAGCTCAATTTTCTTTTTTGTTATTCAACAAATTATTATTCAAATTATTATTAGTTAATAGCTATCTTAATTTTATTTCGGGGCAATAAACCCCGAAAGCGCTCAATGAAAACTCAAGATAATGATGATACAAGTGGCTAAGCAGACACAGCTTAAGAGTCACTAGAGAAAAGATAGAACTACTGATACTAACAAAACGTTACATGCCATTGAAAATTGGGATATAAGTCCCGAGTGTAAAACCGTATACTTTTTGGAAATATCCATATAGGATAAAAAACAAAAAATAATGGAATTGTTTGTATTTCAAAGCCCTCTAGGCACTTTTCGAGCATTCAGCTACAAAAATTGGCTAGAAGACGGAGTGTTAATAGAAGACGTTATTTATCACTACTATATATATACAAAATTATATTCTATCAGATGACTACCACATTCAGAGAGTGTATGTGCTTTACATGCAAAGACCCGAAAAGTTGAGTTGATTGAACTTTGTGGAACTGTGGATGCTATTGCGGTTTCTGTCTGCAGTTGTCACCTGCGTGGGGTATTACTGTTGTCGACATTACTGTGTACTCGTGATTTTAATAGATATTTTATTTTATCATTTTAATTAAAAATGTTATTAGCCTATACTCATTTTTTGTACATCTCTATACTTCAGATCGTAGTAATGCAACGTGAATTAGAAGTTATGGTACCACTGCTCGATGAGCAATCAGCAAGTATGAAAGTACTACTAGATCGCTTAGATGTTGACAATAAGGCTGCTGATAAAGTCAAACACGCCGTTATGCAGGATGAAGCAGTAGCAAAGGAGAAATCAGAACAGTGTAAAGTTATATCAGACGATGCTAGTAAAGATTTAGAAATAGCAATGCCAGCACTACGCGAAGCTGAAGCAGCGCTTAATAGTATTAGTAAAGCTGATATAAATGAATTGAAATCTTTCACAACTCCACCAGCGCTAGTGCAGTTTTGTATGGAAGCTGTTTGTATACTACTTGGAGCAAAGTGGGTATAAACATTTCAACTTAAATGCAAATTATAATTTCTTATTTTCTTAAGACCCACTTGGGCTGCAGCTAAGGTCGTTATGAATGATGTGAATTTCTTAAAACGACTATTTGAATATGACAAGGAACACATTAAAGAAGATGTTTTAAATAAAGTTAAGAAATATATTGACCATCCGGACTTTTCACCTGTCGTAAGTACACCATTTATCATAAGAATAACAAAACTTCTAATCCAATGCCAAACAATCTATTGTAGAAATTTGAAAAAGTTTCGAAAGTAGCAAAATCGGTAAGTCTTTGGGTAATTGCTATGGATAAATTTGCCAAAGTCTATAAAGTTGTGGAACCAAAAATAAAACGGAAAGAAGCAGCTGAAGGAGAACTGAAAGCCGTAACAGAATTGTTACGCCGCAAACAAAAGGAATTAGCTGATGTTGAGGAAAAAATACAAGCACTCAAAGATGATATTGATGAAAAAAATCGTGAATTTAAGATTATTCAGGATAAAGTGGATCTAAGTTATACACGACTTAATCGTGCTGCTCGTCTAACATCTGCACTGTCAGAAGAAGAAATTCGTTGGAAGCAAACTGTTAAGGTGCATTGTTATGTCAATATCATAATAATCAGAATCATATAATAACAAAAATAGATATATTCATATTATAATAGATATATTATAATATAATAGATATATATTATAAAATAAAAATAAAAACAAAAAACATTTTAGACTTTAACTAGTGACTTGGGATGTGTACCCGGTGATGTTTTGGTGAGTGCAGCTTGTGTCGCTTACTTAGGTGCATTTTCAACTTCTTACCGCACCGATTTGGAACATCGCTGGGTGCAAAAATGTCGTGAATATAAAATTCCTTCCAGCAAGGAATTTAATTTGTTAACAATATTGGGTGATGCATATGAAATGCGTACTTGGACTATGGCCGGATTACCTAAAGACAACATATCTGTGGAAAATGGTTTATACGCCACTCGTGCGTTACGTTGGCCACTGATGATTGATCCACAAGAACAGGTATTTTTAATAATGTATTAAGTACAGTCCTACTAATATATATATAAGAAAATTTAAATTTTAATTACTAGATTTTATTTTATTAAATGTATTCTGCATAAATTATCAATGAATATCAGTGGCGTATTCAGGAGGTATTAGGAGTTAGAACTTGTCCTCCCATTAACTATGTAATCTAAAGATAACACAATGCAAAGATACTGTCAAAAAATCATATTTTCAGCAGGTATTAGGGGATAAATCTCTCTTTCCTATTGACTATATAATCTACAAATAACACAATGCAAAGATATTGCAAAAAAAATTATATTTTCAAACATCTGCCCTATTTGCAGTGGCTTTTTCAGAAGAGATTAAGGGACAGATTTTCTCTTCACATTGACTATATAATTTGAAAATAACACAATCCAGAGATACTGCCAAAAAAAGTCATATTTTCAAATATGTTTCTTACTTACATTGGCGTATTACGTAGGGATTAGGGAATAGATCTCCTCTTCCTATTGACTATATAATCTTAAGATAACACAACACAAAGATACTGCCAAAAAAAGGCATATTTTCAAATGTGTACCCTAATTGCACAATTCTGACTACGCCACTGATGAGTATCATTAATAATCCCTCAATATTTGTAGAAATCCTTAAACTCCAGCAATGCAGAAATGATTAACTCTTGCGTTTTAGGCCAATCGTTGGATACGTAACATGGAGAAACCAAACAACTTAAAGGTCATTAAAATGACCGATGGTAGCTTATTACGAGTTGTTGAAAATTGTATACGTCAAGGACTACCTGTACTTTTAGAAGATATCGATGAAACTATTGATCCATCTTTACGTCCCGTACTCCAAAGAGAAACATATGTACAAGAAGGTCGTGTATACCTAAAGTTGGGTGATGTGGTTATAGATTATGATCCAAACTTCAAGCTATACATGACAACAAAATTGGCAAATCCACATTATTTACCTGAAATTTGCATAAACGTGACTTTAGTTAATTTCCTAGTAACGGAAAGTGGGCTTGAAGATCAATTGCTGGCGTAAGTTAACATTTATTACTATACATACATTAGATATTAGTACATTGTCAACTCTTTATGTCTTTATGGCTCATATTATTTAGAGTTAAAAGTTCATTACATTATATCTCAATTCTTTTATAGTGATATTGTAGCTATAGAACTGCCAGCAATGGAACAGCAACGTAATGATCTTGTGGTTAAAATTAACACAGATAAGCAACAATTGCTTGCTTTAGAAGATAAAGTTTTAAAATTGCTTTACAACTCTCAAGGCAACATATTGGATGATGAAGAATTGGTAGAAACCCTGAATGATGCCAAAGTAATTAAAAACAAATTTTTCTAAGAGAACAACTTAGTGAATGTAAATTTTATATTTATCCTAGGAAACGTCATTAATCATAGCAGCACGTTTAATTGATACGGAAGAGACCGAAAAGGTCATAACCAAAACCCGAGAACAATATCGTTCGCTTGCTTCACGTGGTGCTATACTCTACTTCGTTGTGGCTGGCTTAGCAGAAATCGATCCAATGTATCAGTATAGCTTAAAATACTTCTCACAAGTTTTCTGTAATGTTATACGTCTTGAGCATGAAAAAGTAACTGTTGAGGAACGGATCCGATTGTTGAAATTGGATGAACTGAAAGCTATTTATGACAATGTTTCACGTGGTTTATTTGAAAAACATAAAATGATATTCAGTTTTCTCTTAGCTTTATGTATAGAAAGACAAGAGAATCGTGTAAATCAAGCGGAATTTAATTTTCTTAGTCGCGGTGTTGTGGGTTCTGTCTCTGAGAAACGTATGCCAGCTAATATTAAAATGAGTGAATTAGAATGGCTATCTTGTGAGTTTTTGGAAGACAACTTTCCACAACAATTCAGTGGATTCACCAGTGCTATAGCTACTCCCTTTTTCCTACAAATACTGGACAATAAAGAGGTAAGATATAACATACTTTCAGATTTATTTAAACTTTTTACAAATTTCTTTTTTAAAGGTCTTCAATTTTTCACAAAGTAATGCCGAACCCGTCGCTACCTGGAATAAACGTCTAACAAACTTTCAAAAACTAATGTTTGTAAAAGTCTTTCGTACGGAACGCTTTCTGCTTAATGTCGTGATCTATCTCCGTTCTACGGTTGGGAAATATTTTACTGAAGCCTCAGCCACAGGAAACCAGCTTAAAGTTGTGTAAGTATGAAAATATTCACTTAAATGATAAGTGCGAAAACTGATTTTTAATTTCTGCATAAAAATGTAATCATTTTTAATGCCAGATGTATATCCACTCTAGAATCTTCCTTCCTTAAGTATCTACCTTATGTTAGCAGAATAGTGTTCCATTTCAAGATTATTGTATCCTTACCTAAAGTTGTCTATCCCAGTAGTATTCAAATGGACTTACATATTTCTTTCTTTGATTCATTAAAATAAATTATCAGTTCAAAGTAATACTTTTAAGTTTTTATTAACTAAAATGACACAGTTCATGTTCTAATAAGATCTTAGAAAGTGTATAGTAAATATATTTGATACGCTCACTACTAGAAGATAATCATATTAATCGAACAATGGATATTCTGGAATAGTTGAATAATTTTTATTTTTTAAAATCCCCTCATTAAAACACTTTAATAATGAAATCAATAATCTAAGAACTGCACTCTTTAAACATAATATTTTATATTAGTGTCCACTGCCTTTTTACAGATTTTTGGATACTTCGAATGTTACTCCTCTTGTCTTCGTACTGACAACTGGTTCGGATCCAATGTCAAACTTTTTACGCTTTGCCGAGGAAATGAAATATATGGATAAATTTTATTCAATATCTTTGGGTCAAGGACAGGGACCAATTGCTGAAAGTTTGATAGATAAAAGTTTACGTATGGGTCACTGGGTGTTCTTGCAGAATTGTCATTTGGCTACCTCATGGATGTGTTCAATGGAAACTATTGTCAGAAATATTACATTAGGAATAACAAAAGCTCATGACGATTTCCGTTTATTCCTATCGTCAATGCCAACAAAGAATTTTCCAATTAGCGTCCTACAAAACTCTGTTAAGCTTACAAATGAACCACCAAAAGGCATAAAAGCCAATGTTTTGGGTGCACTTAATGATTTAAGCACTGATTTCTTTGAAGTACATGTACTCGGATATAAATGGCGTGCAATTGTTTTTGGTCTTTGTATGTTTCATGCTGTCATACTTGAGAGACGTAAATTTGGACCATTAGGTTGGAATATAATGTATGAATTCAATGAAAGCGATCGTGAATGTGGTCTTAAAACATTAGAATTTTATATTGATCGTGTTGTGGAGGATGATATTGCTTGGGATGCAATTTACTATGTAAATGCCGAAATTACTTGGGGTGGACGCGTAACAGATTACTGGGATCAACGTTGCTTGCGTACTATATTAAAAATATTCTCATCAGCACAAATTTTAAAACCCGAGTACAAATACAGCCGCGGTGATCCTTATTATATGGACCCCGGCAAGGATACTGTTGAGGAATACTTGAACTATGTGAAATTCTTTCCTACTGTAGAGGATCCAGAAATATTCGGCATGAATCAGAATGCAAATATTGTGTTACAGACAAAGGAAACAAACTTTTTCATTAGTACTTTGCTATTAGGTCAACCGCGTGCTGCTGCCGATGAGGGTCAAGCAGCAGAAAACGATATGTGTCTTGAAGTTATAGCCAAGATTAAAGAGGTACTAATTACTAAAATAAACAAAGATAACATAAACCCAGAGTTATTAAAAGTAAGTATATTATAATTAATTTTGGATATATTTGAGTGTGCATATATTTATATTTGTTTCGGCATACAGCTCGATAACAACGGTCAACAACTTTCACTAACAACTGTATTAGTACAAGAAGTTGATCGTTTCAATAATTTCCTAGCGCTTGTACACGACAGCTTAGTCAATTTAGCTAAAGCCATAAAGGGTTTAGTTGTTATGTCTGAAACTCTCGAGGAAGTTTTTCAATCACTACTAACAAATGTGGTGCCACGTTTATGGGAAAAGAAAAGTTTTCTCTCCATCAAGCCTTTACCCAGTTATATAGCTGATTTTCAACGAAGATTGGATTTTATAGCTACTTGGTCAGTAGAAGGTAACCCACGTTCTTATTGGATAAGTGGATTTTTCTTTCCACAATCATTTCTAACGGGTCTGCTGCAAACACATGCAAGAAAGCGTGTTTTACCGATTGATTCTTTAAAAATAGAATTTACAGTTTTTGATCACTATATGATACAACAAGATTTCTTTGAAAGACGTCAACATAAACAACAGGTAGCTGACGCTTTAATTTTGGTGCTTAAAAATTTTTAAATTTCTTATTCTGTAGGTGGATAGTATCTATGGCAATTTACCAGAATCAAATGAAGGTGGTGTCAATGTACATGGTATTTTTATAGAAGCTGCTCGCTGGGATTCATCACAGGGTGGCTTATCAGAATCACTGCGTGGTGAACTTTATTGTCGTATGCCAACAATACGTTTTATACCTTGCTTAGAACAACGAAAAATTGAACGTTATGAGTCTCCATGCTACAAAACGCAATCACGTTCTGGTGTTCTGTCGACGACAGGTCATTCAACAAACTTTGTCCTATCTGTACTATTACAAAGCAAATTCCCACCCGATTATTGGATAATGCGCGGTACGGCTCTAGTCACAGGCGTGTCCGAAAATATTTCCTAAATTTGTTGTAGCTAAATTATTTATTTTATTTCTTTTTATTATTTACAGTGACTTTTTTTTAAGAACTTTTATTTTTATATTTACTTATTTTGTACAAATTTATAAAAAAAACTATTTTAATAAAGAGGAATTTTTTTTAAATTCTCTCTTCTCAATATTTAAAAAAATAGTATTTCCCTCCTCCTTCTGTATATATCTTACAAAGTATATAAGAGCCACGTTAGCCAATTTATAATTAGACATTGAATATATATTATTTAAAGAAGATAAAAATTTTGCTCTTTTAAATAAATATATATACTCCATAAATATATTACATAAATGCTTTCAAATATGAAACCCATAAAGGAGAAAGCAGCATGGATGGATATTAAACTGTATTAATTTTGAAACATAGGACATTAACAAAGATATTTTTTATTTTCATTGGAAATACTAAAAAGTTATAAATGGCCTATGCAGACAGGTCTAATGGATAACATAAAAAACGGTGGAGATGTTACATTGAGATCTCAAAGTTATTGTTTTCAAAGTTATATGCTTAAATATTTTTAACAAATATTTTTTATTATATATATTTATTTAATTTTTTTAATTAATGTACACACATATTAAATATAGCACATATGTAAAAAACAAATATATATATATCATGTTACACATCCACTTCACGATTGGTCACACCATCAATTTCTTCCATCATACGTAGGAGCGTAGCTTCATCGTTTGAATATATGGGTGACAGTGAGATATCTTGCATAGTTCGAAATTTTCCCAAATTATAAAGTTGTTCATTCTCTAAACGTAAGTAATTCCATATATAACGTCTATAAACAAATATATTGATTTATTAATTTTGATATTTAAAAAATCTAAATATACCTGAATATTTCCAAACATGCTCCAATTGTTGTCATACAATACTTCGATATATATCTCTGTTCCTCCACGTAAAATGCAAAAATCCAGTAAAAACGAATTAGTAGATTTTCTATCATGGCAAAATAGTAGAAACACTGTAAATTATAATACAATTAATACACTCCGTTAGAGTGGATGCAAACCTTATCTAAACTAACGTTAAATAAATGTCTTTAATAAGTGAGCAATGTTTATTATAAGAGACATAAAATTCTTAAAATAAAAGAAATCTGCACTTCAATATATATTATATCAGATATACATATATACCATACCTAATAAACTGCTTAAAAATTTTACAAGAACTTACCGGTTCGTATACGACTTGTTCACGCAAAAAGATATTATCTCCGGAAAATTTTTTGAAGACTCCAAAATCTCTGAAGACGTCCCATGCATAAAAATACACAGTGGAAATAATAGAACTTATCAAGTAACCCCAAACAAATGGATTTTGAAAAGTACTACTATAAACATCTAAATCAAGGAATAAAACCAATAATATTAATATTTATTGAAATATACCACCCAGCTATTTGAACTATAAAAATTACCTTTATAGTAAGACGACAAGGTGCCAAAAATCACAACTGGAAATGTTGTAGCATACTTTCCGGCATTGCATAGAAATGGAAATACTGAACGTTTATCGGTAAAACGACGCGCAGATTGAGCAAAACAAAACCATGCAGGTAGACATTGCAATATTGGAATAATAATCATATTCTCACTGCAGACATCATTGACCGAAGCATTTCTATAATCCCAATTGGTAGTATAAAAGCAAATGATATATTCGTAGTCTACTAAACAAGTAACCAGCGATAAAAGTTGTTCAGCCAACCAAAAATTTGCGAAATTGACAGCCAAACATGGAGCAGATATTACACGACCCTATTATAAAATTGGTAACTAAAGTAAAGTTATATTAAAAAAGATATATATATGCAACTTACCATCACTTTGAGTAGCCACATGCGTGCATTATAGTTCATTATTGGCAATGGATTTATGAGATAACCAATCATTGCCCAAAATAAAGCCAATGGAAATATATAGCGCGGTACATCTACTAAGTTACAGTAGAAAAACCCCAAAATACTTAAGGTCCACAACACAGCAAATGCCATTGCTAACTGCATTATATGCAAGGAGGTTATATGATCACAAGGATCAATATTTAATATAAGCATATAATTTATGCCGGCTTTACGCCAATCTTTTATATTCAAACCACAAAAGAATAGAAATAATATGAACAAAAATGGACCCCGATATATACGCAAAAGAGTTGTATAATTTCCAATTGTTAGTTGTTTTGTAAAAACTATATTATAAATTATTTATTGTAGTTTGAGAAATTAAGTAGATTCATTACTTACGCACATGTATATACAGCAAAAATAATTAGTATTATTAGTACTCCAGTAAAACTTCCCAAACTAAATAACATACCCGGTTTATAGTCACTGTTCAATGAGGATATACGTAAGCGATTGAGTGCGCGTGTCCGATCACCATTTTCAAAATATGAGGTAAACTTGTCTTCTGTATCTCGCAGAAGATTCATAAGTTCACGATCGATATGGAAATATGCACAGTCCACTATATCATGTAGCCAGTCCACACCAGTCGCCATCTTCACAAGCTAAATATTTAAATAATAATAGTAAGTTTTCAGAAGGTGGAGAAGAGGTAGTTTTTAAAACTAAAAACAGGGTCTAATTCCCAAACATTCACTCGATGGAAGATAAAATTTTTATATTTAAAAATTTCTCTTCAATTAATCCCTTTTCTGTTAGAAAAGGTTCCCATGATAGTTTTCTTATCATAGGACATTTTTTTCATTGATGGATTGCTATACCGAGTGACTTTAAGATACGGTTTTGCGCTACGACCATGAAAGGATCTATTATTTTTAATATTGTAATACACACCTTATCGTGTTTCTGGAGTATTTTTTGAAAGGAAGTATAATTGAGACTCTGATAATTTTGCAACAACACTAAACTCAAGTAGTACTCGCTGTAGTTTTCTCTAAAAGTTTTAATTTTCTTTTTTGTTAATATGCCATGATGACTATTTTCTTTCTCTTTAACCTCATCAAGATATATGTAGAGCTCGGTTTCTAGTGCTACATGTTTACGATGTGCTTCAGATAGTTTTTCCTCAAAAAATCGATTAACTTTTTTTAATTCTCGTTCGCATTGTTGGAAAAATTTTTCATCGAAATTTGCATAATAATTTCGTATGGAACGTAAATCAAATGCTAGGTTTGAGGGTGAATTATCCACAGCTGTCAGTAACATGGTTTTGAGATTCTAAAAGATATGTAATATTAAATTCTAATATACTATCTACGGAACAATTGAATAATCACTTCGTAATTCATATATTGTACACGCCATTCTGTTGTTAAATGTGTAGAAAGAATGGAATTAAATTGCATTTTCAAAGCCTCTTTATAGATAAAACAAGATTTCTAAATTATATATGTATATTTAGTTCAAATACAATTTAAAAATGTTTAAAGTATTATAATTGTAAATATATGATAGATAGTTCAAAGTATTATATTAGAAATTCAAATATGTGTATTTTTATAAATAGTTGAAATTACTGCAGCCTTAGGTATTGAGTTGGATTTTTGACAATAATATATATCACAGCACATTCTTTCCGAAAATGTCATATAGCAGACTTTATCTACTCTTAACAGACAAAGCTTCACAACTTAAATGTTGGATTATAATAATGGATAAATAATAATAATCAAACTGACAAACTTACCAACACCGCGTTATCTAATCTCAGAACGGTTACAGGCTCCTCGGGGAGGTATGCAGATCCGAGGTCAATTATTTACTCTCTATTAACTGCGAGGTTTCTTCAAACCCCCTATCTACGCCTTGACTGGATTATTGTTTATCACTTCATCAGACTAAGCAATAATTGACCTCAGATCAGCATACCTCCCCAAGGAGCCAGTAACCATTCTGAGATTTAACAACGCGGTGTTGGTAAGTCTATCAGATTTCGCAAATAATTTCAGGGCTCTATCCTTTATGTATTTTTTGATGGGATCAATCTTGATGTCCCTGAGGATATCATTCGTCCTAATGTACCATGGAACTTTGAAAAGTCTTCTCAGAGCCTGGCCTTGTGTAATTTCTAGCTGGTGAATAGTAGTGTTTGAAGCTTTGCTAAACGCTACACAACCATATAGAAGTGACGGACGAATTATTTGGTTATATATCAATTTAATGTTCTTAGCATTGAGATTTTTATTTCTAAATAGCGGTTTGAGGTAATGAAGAATTTTGGCACAATAGCTGTAAAATCTATCTATTAAAAAGATATTATATAGATTTCATCATTAAATGTATTTATTATGAATTACTTTAGTTTACAGATCTAATTTTTAGAATTACATATATAGTTTAAAAATATATTTAATATAACTTATTGTTCATTATTATTTTTGCGCTCCTCAAAAAAAGAGCTTTTGTGTACTTAAAATAATTACAATAACTAAAATTAACATTCATTAATTAATATAAGTTTGACTTCAGCACTTAATTGACTATCATTTATAAAAGGGAATGTATACAAAATTTTCGGGAAGGTTCAATTATATATAACACAGTGGAAATAAATTTCAAAGTACTTAGGTTTTTTATATAGAGTACGTTTACATAGTGAAAGTAAAAAAAAATTAATTTCTTAATTTTTAATGGATGTTATTATGGCAAATTAATTATTTATTATTACATTTTATGGCCTATGACAAAATATATATTTCGAATAAAAAAAGGATTTTGTATTTAATTCTATAATTGAGTGCATTTACGAGGTAAAGAATTGCATATTTATTATGTACTTATATACTATGCATTGTTTAGTTATGCTAATATATATAATCCATTATACATTAATTTGTTAGCAACAATACTTTTCACTTACAGTACAAAATGATGTTAATTTTTATTTTTTACATATTCTAAATACCAATAAAGAGACCTCAAAAAAATATACATTTAATAATATGTTATAATAATTTATGTGCAAAAGAGAGATATTATTTGAAAAATATTTTTAAATTACTTTAGAAAGAAGTTATGTGATCTTGATATATAATTAAATATTACTTATTAATATTTCATTATTATTTCGAAGTTGAGGATTTTGGTTTACGATCTTGTATTGTAGTTGATGGCTATGTATTATGATAACTGTTATATGCATATTATTTTATTAAATTCAAATTAAAGCAATCATTTAATTTAATAAAAATTTGTAATCTAAACGTATTTAATTCTAAGTGATAAAATTTAACACACTCTTAATAAAAAATTCATAATTTAGTACTTTTAAATAAAAAAATATTTCATTAAATCACAATTCATTTTGTAAACGTACTCAAAATATTATAATGATAATATTTTAATTTGTGAATTATTATTTTCTATTGTACATTTTTATATAAGTAATACTGCTACGAAATATAAAACAAAAAAATATTTGCACATTAAAAAAGAACATAACATTAACTTAAAAAATAGGTGTTTTGGAATATGCAGGGTCTTTTTAAGTACTTTAGTATAAATTCACAAATATTTTTACCATATAAAAAATGTATATACAAAAATATTTCAATTATGTATTAATATAAACCTGAAGATAACATCTTAATAATTTTATGTATATAAAAAGAAAGACTCGTCGATTTCAATTTTAAAGTAATCAATTCATACAGTAAATAATCGTAATAAAAGCTATATATATTTCTATATGCTTACTTATTTTAAATAGGCTTATTAACTAAATATGCTTAATATGCTTAATCTATATTAAAAATAAGTTTTTCGAAAATTTTTATAAAATTGGAAGCATTCAAAAAATTTCGTATTTAAGTTCAGTTCATTTTACGTTGATTTCTACAACTTTTTCGAACCTTCAATATCAATAGTCAAATCATGTAGTGAACCACGCGGATTTAGTAGACTACGTTTTTCTGGATCTTTCGATTTTTTCGGTTTTGGACGATTCGATTTTGTGTAGCGATTAATAACACCATCCGGTTCATCCATCATACGTAATATTAATGTTTGATCTGAAGAATCTATAGGTGCTATAGATATATCACGAACGGCACGGAATTTACCACAGTTATTTAGATGTTCGTTCTCTAGACGGAAGAAGTTCCAGACAAAACGACTATGAAAAAAAATAATTTATTATTTATTTAGCAAAAAAAAATTATTATAAACTATTTAATTACCGAAAAACTTCTAAGATACCAGTTACAGATGTCATAATATCGCTAGTTGCATATTTCATTTCGGTAATATAGAATGATAACGCCCAACTAAATCGTAATAACAAATCCTCAATAATGGCGAAGTAATAGAAACCCTAAAATAATATAGAATAAATAAAATAGAAAATAAAATAATATATGAAAATCGCTTACGGTTGATGAATAAACCACTTCTTCACGTAAAAATTTATTTTCGCCTGCATTCTTATCGAATAAGCCCCAATCCATTTTGATATCCCAAGTATAAGCATAGCAAGACGATACCACTGATGCAGCCATCCAAAGCCAAGTGTATGGATTATCGAAAGTGGCAGCATAATACGCTACATATAAAAGAGAGATAGAAAGAGAGAGAGAGAGAGAGAGAGAAATAGTAAACGTAGTCCTTACATATACATTTTAAATATAGCTAATAAACTTACGACTATAAAAGCTCTTTAAAGTGGCAGATATGACTACTAAAAATGTGGTTGCATACTTTCCAGCATTCACTAAATGTGGAAAGGCTTCACGAGTATCTCGATAACGTCGTAAGCATTGCGCAAAACGAAACCAAGCTGGCAAACAATTGAATATTGGACGTATAATGAAATCTTTTTCCATGCATATCGAGGCATCACGCGCTTCTGTCCAATTACCATTGGTGAAATAAAAACAAATCAGATATTCAAAATCCAGTAAAGCAGTCGCTAAAGAATTCAGCTGATCACCAAGCCAGAAATCAGCAAAGCCGACATGAAAGAATGGTGCAGCAACCATACGCCCCTAAATTTTTTTATATAAAATAAATACATATATGTATAGAGAAATATATACTATAATAACTATATATCCACTTACCGTGATGCGCAATAGCCAAAACCGTGCATCATGATGCAGAACATGAAAGGGATTAACCAAGAAGGCAACCATTACAAGCGTTAAAGTTAATGGATTTATAAAAGCTGGTATGCTAAGACTGGCACTATATAAAAAGCTCAGCATACTTAGAGTCCATATAACACCAAAAATAGCCGCCAATTCCATTAAATGTTGCTCTGATAGATGATTTCGCGGATCCAATTCGAATATGAGTACATGATTGACACCAGACGATCGCCAACCATATATATTAACGCCAATTAAAAATATAAATTCTATTATTAGTAAAGGACCACGATAGAGACGAAATGTGACCTTTAGATTTTCACCGCTTATATCATGGAAAATTGCTGCAAATAAATATATGCACACAGAAATTATATATATTTATACATATAAAAAATATTTATAAAGCGAAAAAGTATATATACAACTTACCTGAAAGTACGACTACAATACCCAAAACAATAAAACTACCCGAGAATAGACCCACTTTAAAAGTAGTCCACGGACTTTGTTGTTCACCCAGTGGTGGTACACGTAATCGTTTCATCGCGCGTTGACGATCACCGCCTTCAAGTTCGCCTGTAACTGTTGTCTCAGTTTCATTTATTATATTATCAATATCTTTATTGATGAAAAAATGTGATGACTCCACAAAGTCTTGTCGCCATTTTGCACCAGTGTCAACACGTAAGAGCTATAAAAATATATTTTTATGTTTTGTATATATAATAGATGTATGGAAACTATTTTGTTTACCTTATCGTGTTTCTTTAGTATCTTACGGAAACCAGTGTGATTTAAATTCTGATAGTTTTGTAATAAAATTAAACTTAAATAAAATTCACTAAAGGCAAGTTTTAATTCTTGTGCCTTTCGATGTGGGAGCCCGGCTTTCTTTAGAGATTTTGCTTTTTTCGCCGTTCTTTCTGATTCTTCCACACATGTTTTTAGCTCTGCTTTAAGCGTTGCAAACTTACGTGTTGCCTCAGCTAATTTTTCGGAATAAAAAGTATTGATTTTCTTCAATTCTTTATCACAATAATGAAAAAAATTTTCATCGAAATTCGCAAAATGTCTTTTAAGTACATCATCTTCTACACTATCCACAGATGGCGCTTCTTCTACAGCCAAATACAGCATGGCCTTCATTTCCTATAAAAAAATTAATTTATTTTTTTTTACATTTAATTAAAACAAAGTAATATAATATATATAGCTTTTATTATAAGACGTCTGAAAACATCCGTCACTGCATCCTTTGAGGATTATTGTGACAAACTCACTTTAGTGCCTAATTCCGTTATAAGTGGAGAGGCAGTTGATAAGTACCGAAGTCTGAGTCTGGCGAGACTATCACAATGACACAGAATGTATTCTACTGTTTCCTCTTCTTTGTGACAAAGTCTACATTGTGGTAATATACAACGGCAAAGGTATCAAACTCAGTCCCTGAACAGTAATGAACACATAGGGCGGACTACATTTTGCATGTACATAGAGATATGGAACTATATTACACAGATCCTTTATATAATTGACTTAAGTTAAAAATATTTGCAGGAAACTTTTCCTATTTAGGACGTGTGCGAGTTAGGCTAAGTTGCGTTCTAAATGAGGGAAATTCTAAGATGAGCCGATAATGTAGTGATGTGTCGACACGTGTTGATAAATGGCTAAATGTGTGCAGTGCAAAAAATCCCAAAAAATCTCCCATTTGGTTTAGCATCAACTTAGCCTAACTCGCACACGACCTAAGTTTGTATGTGAAACTCACTTCGGGCAACAAAAGATAAGCTAAAGATCTGGCTCATGTTTACAACTAAAGTAAAGCGTTTCTCCCAATCAGAATAGAACTTAAGCTATTGACAGATTATCTGATAGATCGCTGTATAACTATGCCAACAAGATGGATATATCCAGAAGAAAAAAAGTCGACTCTGCTTGAAATCAAAAAATATATCTGATTACATTCTTTGTGGTTGGTCGACTTTACTTTGGCTTAGAAACAGAATACTCTAATGGAAACAACTATCTCCATCTGATATTGAAAATATTCCTATCAATGGCAAAAATTTTTTTCTTCGTTCAAATGGCTGAGTGTTCTCAGTTAGATTAAAGTCGATTACTAACACAAAAGATCTAAAATGGTCGCAGTAATTCGCTCCGTTGGATGCCTTTTATCCAAGTATTCAACTCATTATATATTTTAGTATAGTAAATAAGCCACGAGGAGAAGAGAACTACAGTAAGTAAGTAATAGTTTGTTCTATGTATTTAAAACTAGGAAAAAACAAACAAACTGATTAAGTTATGTCTTTATGTTTTCATTAGGATGTGAACAACCCAAAAAAGAATGATTGACGTCGAACTTAAGTCTACACATTATATTCGTACATCGAACTACATCTGTATTACAGCTTAGAATAGCATACGATTGCAGAGCATTTACTGAAGCATTTTATATTATATGTTATATATACCTATATATATATATAACTTATAATAGAATTTTTTGATATTAACTATAAACAGTCCTATATATAATATTTTTTTTGTATTTTATTTAAATTTACTATGTATTCTGTTAAATAATGTTGTGACTTTTCACAATTTTTTTATATATAAGATTTAAGACCTCATACTTTACAATTTAGGTAGTTCTTCCTGTGTGCAGAGTTACACACACATATATAATATAATATTAATTACCTGTTAAGCGTGTTCTTGAATACAAAATTTTTAAAAAATATCTTTCAATAATATTTGTTTTTTGTCCACTTTGAATTCATTTTGATTTTTGATACGCTCTGAAATTTTCGCTATGTTATTATCTTAACCTTGACCAAGAAGTTTGGGCTAGAAACCTATATGCCGACATTCGAATCTCATTTTCTTTTAAACTTAAATTTTTCTTTAAAAACTGATTTAAACTATATTATATAGTATTAAATATTATTAATTTTCTTACCTCATAGTTTATATATTGTTTACGCCATTCTGGCGTGATGTGCGCCGTCAGATGTTCGGCAAACTTCATCGTGCTCACTTATAGTTCAAGATCTGAAATAAAAAAATTCACAAAATTTAAAAATTAAATATATTTTAAATATATATATATATTGTCAACTATATACACATATATATTTATATATAATTACAAATAATTTTCGACAGTAAATTTGTTTGTTTATGAATTTAATTTATTATGATCGATAGTGGAATAATTTAAGCGTGGACGACCTCCTCGACTTCGAATCAATTAAAAAAATTCAAATTTTTGATAACAACAATTATTCTCTCAAGTGACCCTTAATCATTGCTTAAGTTTTGGTAATTTAATTTCAAAACGCAAATGTCAATTATTTTTATTAATTACGCTAATTATTTTATATCAATATTATTCATTTATTACATCAATTATGGTGGAATGGCTTGCTAACGTAGGTATCGTAAGTCTTAATTGATGAGAATTTTGAAGCAAAAAAAAACCCTGTACTTTGACTTCTATATTATATGCGATTGCTTATAGATATATGACACCATTTTTTTTATTATATGTATAATATATTATAATATGTATTATTAAAAGGATAACAAAAGCAAATACTCTATGTGACACCGTATATACTGTCTATGATTTCAAATTTGAAGTGGTTTTTTATATAGCCGGTAGGAGTGTGACCACGTCTTAAGTGTTAAGTTCAACTGGACAATTATATCATAAATGGCTCAGTAAACAAAAAAGTCACTTGAAAATGTACTTGAATTAGATAAATTAATTTAACTATGTTTCATAACACTTAGACACATAGACTCCCAGGTCAGCATTTGACGACGAACAGAAGCCAAAATAAAATGAATTGTTAACAAACTTTTGTACTTGGAAGAAACGGATTTCAGAATCTAGGTTGTAGACTCCATAAACTATAGAATCAATCCTATGCAGTAGCTTGAGTATACTTTAAACCACTGGTTCACTCTATTGTTTGGTTCACTTTCAAAGTAATTTGGTTTAATGGTTCGAGAATACACTGAACTATTGGTTCGGTACGTGGTTCAGTTGAATTAACACCCAGAACAATACGGTTCAATAGTTAGAGGATATTCTCCTACAATGGCTTGGTGTATTGTTGGGTTCAATTATACTAAAAAATCTGTTTTAGTCCTGCTAACGATTGTCTTGTATAACTTATCAGTCGTAAAACGCGATTAAAATCTATTAGGCACTCCTTGTTTAAGAGTGTAACTGAAAGTAAGTGAGTTTTCACTTACTCCACCAAAAGTTAAATCATGTACCACGGAATCCAAGTGCCCACAACTGAGCTTGTTCTGGACACTGAGTCGGTGTTTAAACACTTTAATTAACACAAGAAAAGCGTTGACATTTATGCATCCACTGAATGCGGAATCACATTTTTTCCATCGAGTGCTATGACTCATAAAACAGCAGAAATTTAGATGGGCCTCCATTCATTTATGTTAATATTTTTATTCTAACAAATAAATATGTATAAATGGTAGTCTTGGTATTTAAGAAAAGGGATAAGGTTCATTTTCGAAAAGCTTACGATGTCATATACAAAACAATCTTTACAAAATCCTTTTAGAATTTTGAGACTGACACAAGTATCACGGAATTTATCTAGCTCTAGCTCATTAAGTAAAGTTAAGTAAACTTTAGAGAATACTTTCAAAGGTAGAACAAGTAGACTCATGTTTATGGATTTAACTAATTACCAGAATTAAGAATTAGGCTTCTTTCCTAACTGTCTCGACAGAACTATTATTCTTTAAAATTATGGATATAGCCAAGTTTATAAACTTATCTGTGGTTCGTTCTGTTTGATTTAAAGAGAAAGAGTCGCGTCTAACATACTAAAAAGGATGTTGTTTAGGCACTAGATGTTTCGAATTTTTACCGTTAAAGTAGTGCATTAGATCTAGTGCTCGAATAATGACTTATCTGTGATGTCACAACAGGCCATTATTTGTGATCTTTGTTACACAAGGATGATAATTTAATGTAGACAAACCTGTACTGTAAGAGTTGAGTTGAGTATTGGTGTTTGTAAAATTATAAAAAAGTAGGCAGCAAAAATTTTTATAGACGAAAAAAACAACAAATTTGCAACAACAATGATGTAGTTTTGTGTTCTATATGAGCTGATGTGAGGATTACTGTTTTCAAATACAAAAGAAAACAAGGAGTAATAATTTATGTGTACCAAAAAACAACAAATTTGCAACAAAAATGATATCGTTTAATGTTCTATATGAGTTGATGTGAGGATTACTGTTTTTAAATACAAAAGAAAACAAGGAGTAATAATTTATGTGTGCCAAAAAAACAATAAATTTGCAACAACAATGATGTAATTTTGTGTCCATTATGAATTTGTTTGTAAGTTTAAAATTAAAATTGGTTTGTTGGAAAATAGAAATTTTGATAGTTAATTTTTGATTTATGAAATAACTGTTTTATTTACGTAAAGGGTAAATTAGGAGATTGGTAAATAGACTTAGTAATGAAAACATTTTTAATGTATGAATTTGTTTGTAAGTTTAAAATTTAAGTTGGATTATTGGGAAATAGAAATTTTGTTAGTTAATTTTTGATATACGACATTATTTTCTATAGAGAGGTTTTTAAAAGACCATTAGTAAAATTGCAACAACAAAACTTTTTATATTATTTTTAATTAATTAAATTTTTTGGCTGATCATACAGCTGTTTCGATTATTGTTCAAAGCCCATCATAAGTAGACTTTTGGAATTATTTCTAATATTTAATTGTTCGTAAAGAATTTTTACCAATAAAGGGAAAACAAAAAAGGTAATCTTACAATTTTCTTATAAAATAGAAATCTCAACTATGGAGGTTAAAGAGCTGTATTTAAAATAGAAGATATTATTATCTTCATTATAGACATGATCATTTAATAATCATATTTCGATTTAATTTCTGCATGTCAAAACTCAAATAAAAAATAAAAAACTTCCATTGATGCTGGAGTAAATTGATTAGTGACATTTCCATTATTCAGTTCAGAATGATGAAGCTAATAAAACACAAAGACCCACAACACTTCAGAGTATCATTAGCAGGTGTTAATACATTGTTATTGGATGTGACTAATAGATTAGTCAAAATATATATTTATAAATGACTTGTTAAATTTAGTTGAACGAATGAAAAAACACAATAACTACACAGTCGATTGATTTCATATTAAATATGCTTCACGTTAATCTGCTGAGCAAATCTCGTGATAGTTTAATATTTTTCAAAGCACTAATATTTTTCTAGACAGACTTTTTTCTGTATGAAAAGTAATTAAATAAACAAATCACAAAAATTACTTTTTTTTCGAGTTTATATGCAAATATATTTTATTAAAATATTATACGAATTACTTTACTAACAATGTTAATTAATTGAAATTAGTACTTCAAATAAACAATAATAATATCTTTCGATTGAGTTAACCAAGTTCGCTAGCTACTCAGGCTCTGACAATATCTTATCTGCAAATTAAAGATAATTAGGCGTATACATTTCGGAAAAATCAACACCACGATTTGAGGCGATATTTAAATTGACACATGTTAAGATATATTTCACTGATTTTCAAATGACTTTAAGAAAAAGTTTAAGGAAAAAAAAAATTCTTTTCACGATAAAAATTTAATAAATAATTGTGAAGTAAATATATAAATAATGTACTCTTTAGATGTATCTTCTAAACTCAAAATCTCTTATCATCGCAACTGATGACGTCTTGGATTCATAAAAATATGATTCATAAAAACATAAAAATTATTTATAATTATCTTAAGATAATATTTGTAATGTATATATTTGCACTGTGTGCAAATGTCAACTCATATCCAACAATTAATGGCAATATCTCGAGATACATTTAATTATTTTAACACAGATAAAAATACAAATATCACAAAAGTGTAAGAAAAATCTTCAAAAGAATTTATTTCTAAAAATACGATTAGTTGCAATTAAGCAATTAAAGTAGGCAAGCGCTTGAACTAAAAATCTCAGAGATATCTAAAATATCTCAATGAGTTGCATTATCTACAACATTTTCTGTAAAATGCAATAAAATTGTATTTTTGCATTCATTTCATGCCAATTTGTATATGATTTGTGTGGATGCAGATAACGAGACTATTTACGAAAATTTGTGCAATTTAATTTTATTAACATACTTAAACTAAGGCAATAAAATTATTACAAACTTACAGAAACAACAAAATTATTTAAAAAAAAAATAAAAATATGTAATTAAAAAAAAAAACAATAATAAGAGAAAATAAAATTAAATAACAATTTTCATGTCAATTGTAATAAAAAGTTATCGCAGATGTCAAGAAAAACTTATTTATTTATTTTGCATTAAGTAAATAATATTACGGCAATTATATATTCTTTTAAAGTAGTGAGACTCAAATAATATTTGTAAAAAAGAAAGAAAATAATAATACAACGTATAACATGTTTCCGGGCTTTTTGTGGCGCAGTGTATTGCGATGAGACACACTGGATCTTTTGTACTAAGAATATAGTATAATAGTAATAATAGTAATATAATATAATATAATAGAACCATGTGAGACTTGAAGCCACTAAAACACCTCTAAAGAATGAATGGAAAAGATTTCCACACCAATGTGAAAACTTCAATCCAGTAATCAGGGGAGAGAGGCTTAAGCGAGAGGCTTAATAGCTACCTTAATAGAACAAATAAATTTCTTTCAATAAATCTGAACTAAATTCTTGAATGTGAATGGAAACTTCAATCCAGTAATCAGAGGATAGAAACGTAAACGAGAGGCTTAATAGCTACCTTAATAGAACAAAGAAATATCTTTCAATAAATCTGAACTAAAACCTTGTGAATTGAAAGATCTTTATCTAAAGGTAAACATATTTAATGTTAATATTACATATCATGTAAAGCCCTGCACAGGGCACAGGACAGCTAAATTGGATAGAAAGACTGTCTCAATACAGTCACATTGGTCGGAGCCAAACTATACTTTA